GTTACGAATACACAATTTTCCGGTGCGACCTGCTGACTTCTTGCTGAACGAGCTTATTTACGCTCCGTTGAACTGTTTGTTGACTGCTGTGCCTTGTCAAACTAGTTCAAAATCGATATGGGATCAAGTGTATGGTTACATCTTTCAAAGTCTCATTTACACATCACCCATAAAAGTCATTTCAGTCTAATTTGTTCATTACCCGTGGGCTTTCCAGATTAAACAGAAAGATCCGCAAAAACAGGTCCACTAAGAGAACCTAGTTTTCGTTTCAGAGAGGTTTGGTAAATAGTCGGTGGATTTATTGCTGGGCAACTTTTTGCATTTGCCACGAAAGCTTCGTGGGGCCAGGTGAGTAAGTGAACAAGTAAGCAGAATGGTTGGGTTTTAAGACAGTCAGGGTACCAGTCCGTGAGATTTCTCATGCCTAATCGACTTGATCGGTGCTCGGTCAGTGTGATGTTCCTGTTTATCGGTTAGAGGGGATGACTAATATCTACGATAGATTGGTTAGGGGGGGGGGGGGTGGTCTTTATGTTAAACGGCCTTAATTTTTCTGTCTAAGGCGCCTTAATGGAATATGCCCCTTGGGGTCGTTCACAGATTTTGTTCATGGTTGTGCGTAAAACTTACCGTTTAACGGAAATTACGCAGTCGGTGTATAGTTTAGTACCTTAAGTTTGGGATAAACCAACAGGCAACAAAGTGTTCACTGACATCTGCTACATACTGGAAAGCTAACGACAGCGCAGTTCCATACACACGTTAAGAGACGCCCACGGATAACAACTTCGTCTGAAATTTTCAAACCGTTGACTGTCAATAAGATCAGGTGCCTTGGGTGCTGTTTGACAGGTTCCAGTACGACACATAACCAATAGGCAGTCTTGTGACAAACAATAATACATTTTCTGCACTGGACGTAATGATAGGCCCGGTTTACGCCTCTCACAAAGTCCTTACAGCCAAGATGCATGTAGACCCGAAGGTCCCAACTGTTTGTAGTGCTCCACACTGATGAGAAATGTTTGCAATTTTTTCGAAATGGATGCCAATCGTTTTTCTGTAGTAGATATCTTATCGCTATAATTTTTTAATCGAAACCTCACACTTTTATTCCGGATGGATTCGACTGTGCCGACATAGTCTATTCTGTTTCAAAGGACCCTACCCACTCCTTTATTGGGTTTGTTGAACATTATCTCTCCAACGTTTCAAGCTATTTGCCTGCTTTGCGATGTCTCCTTTGAAGTAGACCTTGAGTGTCCAGCTTGGAATGATAGTGGGAGCAAATGCCAACGAGATCCACCTTCCTCCCTGCTGACGCGGTACCCAAAACGGTACGTCACACAACGCTGTGCCGAAATTATGCATAGGGGTTTATAAAAAATCACACCAATTTGTCGGGTAGGTTGGTCCGTGACTGTCTCCAGCCACCGACAATGTCATCAACCACAATTGCTTGACAGGGGATGACGCAAAAAATGAGAAGTTTAGGGTCAGAACACAGAGTAGCGGAATAAGATGTTAGAATTCGAGGCTTCGGTTGCCAAGGGCAACCTTTTCAAGAACTTTTTGCAGTCAGAAGCCTCAGAATTTCGTTAAAGCAATCCAGTCTCTATATTCCCATTCTTTAAGGCGTAAATAAGACGAGTTCTCCAAAAGCTTTTGTGCGGGAAGTGATGTCCGGTAAGGATATCTAATTTCTCGATTCTTCGACATCTTTGTCATTGATGAAATAATGGAGGGAACACTCAGAGTTTTGCAAAAACCCGGTGTTCAAATCAGCGATGTGAAAACCTTGTCGATTTGGACTACGCAGACGACATTGCCCCACCCTTGTAAACCAAAGCCAAGCATAAGCTATGTTGAATCATACCCAGCAACCAACCAATGCTGGATGAAGTACTATCTGCATCACTGAAACAGTGCATCCAGTGATCTAAGGTGTCTGATTTACGCATTCAGAGACGAGCACAGTTATCCGTACTTAATTTGGAGTACCTGAAGCCTAGCAATGGACAGAAGGGAATGATTTTACGAAAATTTTGGGCCTGGTTCTCATACCAGGATGGGATCCACGTGACCTTCCGTGTGCCAAGCAGGAGACATTGAAACATATGGCAGCTAACCAACGTAAGTAGCCTTCATGCTGTCAGTTTCTATTCAGATGGTCTGGCTGAGTGTTGGTGATGTGGGGACCTCAGATGTTTCTTTAAGGCTAGGTCTAGGAGTTTTTCAAGGTAAGGCTTTACTCAAATAAATCGACAGNGAAACCTCACACTTTTATTCCGGATGGATTCGACTGTGCCGACATAGTCTATTCTGTTTCAAAGGACCCTACCCACTCCTTTATTGGGTTTGTTGAACATTATCTCTCCAACGTTTCAAGCTATTTGCCTGCTTTGCGATGTCTCCTTTGAAGTAGACCTTGAGTGTCCAGCTTGGAATGATAGTGGGAGCAAATGCCAACGAGATCCACCTTCCTCCCTGCTGACGCGGTACCCAAAACGGTACGTCACACAACGCTGTGCCGAAATTATGCGTAGGGGTTTATAAAAAATCACATCAATTTGTCGGGTAGGTTGGTCCGTGACTATCTCCAGCCACCGGCAACCACAATTGCTTAACAGGGGATGATGCAGAAAATGAGAAGTTTAGGGTCAGAACACAGCGTAGTGGTATAAGATGTTAAAATTCGACGCTTCGGTTGCCAAGGGCAACCTTTTTCAAGAATTTTCGCAGTCAGAATTTCGTTAAAGCAATCCAGTCTCTATATTCCCATTCTTTGGGGCGTAAATAAGGCGGGTTCTCCAAAAGCTTTTGTGCGGGAAGTGATGTCCGGTAAGGAAATCTAATTTCTCGATTCTTCGACATCTTTGTCACTGATGAAATAATGGAGGGAACACTCAGAGTTTTGCAAAAACCCGGTGTTCAAATCAGCGATGTGAAAACCTTGTCGATTTGGACTACGCAGACGACATTGCCCCACCCTTGTAAACCAAAGCCAAGCATAAGCTATGTTGAATCATACCCAGCAACCAACCAATGCTGGATGAAGTACTATCTGCATCACTGAAAGAGTGCATCCAGTGATCTAAGGTGTCTGATTTACGCATTCAGAGACGAGCACAGTTATCCGTACTTAATTTGGAGTACCTGAAGCCTAGCAATGGACAGAAGGGAATGATTTTACGAAAATTTTGGGCCTGGTTCTCATACCAGGATAAGATCCACGTGACCTTCCGTGTGCCAAGCAGGAGACATTGAAACATATGGCAGCTAACCAACGTAAGTAGCCTTCATGCTGTCAGTTTCTATTCAGATGGTCTGGCTGAGTGTTGGTGATGTGGGGACCTCAGATGTTTCTTTAAGGCTAGGTCTAGGAGTTTTTCAAGGTAAGGCTTTACTCAAATAAATCGACAGTTTTGTACGTCAGCAAATCACCAATGCTCTTATCTGATGTTGCAGGCGTCGCGAGTTTGATGATATGCGAAAGAAAAGGGTAAAAACCTTCAAAATATCTCGATGTAGGTCCTGTGGAAGACTAGCTTTCATGTTTCAGTGATCATAATTGTCACTGTCATAATCTTTGTTCCCCGTATTATTCTTGGTTTAAAACCTACCAGATTGCATAGTCTTGAATTTGCATCATGAAGTGTGCCTTGTTGTGCACTTGTTCACGCAACCGTTTTGACAGCTGTCTGTGATAACAGGTTGATATTATACCATTCCAACTACGGCTTTTGACAAACAACTCACCTCGGACTGCACTATGGACACTTGTTGACCTCTATTAAGCAGACAACAGAAGTCGCGAAAACAAAGGACGGTCATGTACCGAATTACAAGGGATGGAAGTTCGGCGATAAACTATGAAAAGCATTTTGAGAACCATGAAGCCGTCCGTGTTCAATCTGTAGGATAGTGTATTGCATTAGGTAGTCACCAGCCAGAATGACGACTTCTTGCATGGTCTACTCTCCACTTGTGCCGAAGGATCGGACAATGCGGGTTTCAACAGTCGTCGAAAGAGTCCCGTTCTTGATGCACCGTTCGTTACAGCAACTGATCTAACTTTCTGACATCAACACGCATCAGTAGCGGACCAAGCGGAAACATGGCAAGATGCGGTAGATGAGTACCAACCCTACCTTTACGGACTTGCTGTAGTAGTTTAACTTTACACCGGGTGGTTTACGTGTGATTGAAGCGATCTGATGACCAACCTGACATTAAGTTTGCTGCCTAGCATGGCAACCACGTCAGGTTTAATCTGCCCGCACAACCAGTAAGCTAACAGCAGGTTCATTACCAAGATGACTCAATACCTATAAGTGCTGGTGAATACGGTGATTTCTGTGAGAAGACCATAAGTGTTCGCTTCTGTGGGGTGCCCGTAAGGCTCTTGTAGTGAAGTTTTTTTTAAATAGACGGATTTGCTGTCAGGGGGATTTATCTACATCGGTCAAGCTTCATACTAACATAAAAGTCCTAAAATATCCCTCAACAGTTTTGAGGATGGATGCAATGGCTGCTCTTTAAGTTCTGTTTGTACCAGGCTGGACGGCGTAAGCGCTGGAGGGAAAATGGCGAAACCTATATAAGGAAGAATTTGGTGATAGCGTTTGAGTCACTGAGAAATTCGGATGGCGGAATTTCCAATAAACGGGATCGGAACTGCAGTCACAAGCACCATGTTTATTGCCATCATCGAACGACTGGTCTGTATGTTTAGAAAGACCAGAGAAAACCCGTGTAACCCAGTCCTATACCCCGCCATAGAGAGTAAAATACTGTGGACAGTACTGATAGTCAGTCTGTAGTGATAAAAGTCCATAACGGCTGTGACTCATTGGTGCCAAGACTGATAATACCAAGGATGATATGTGGACACCCGGCAGAATTCGGGTGCTCAGTTACAACCGCCTCAACTTAAGACATTTGGTACCTCGGGACGATTGTGGTGTGCTAGCACCAATTTCCTTTCCAATTCACTTTTATTCTTCTTTAAAGAATACGCCTTTCAAATAAATTATAGATATACCAAAGCGAAGCTTTAGTATGGAATATCGATGTTTTGCTTTCGATGGTGGTGATGACAACGAGCGGTAACAAGGGAGACCAATGTGAATCAACTGGGCTAAAATACAGTCATGCAATGTATACACAGGAGGAAAGAAAATTCAGGATGTGAAAATGTCACGCGAACTGTAATGATTTCGACTACAGGGTATCAAGTGTCACCGAGATACTTGTGAAAGAAACTCTGGAGTACGCTCAACCTTCGATCGATTTCATCCAGCTCTGGATTTCTTCCACAGGGGGCGTCATGGTGAGAGCCGCACTCTGCGAGAAAAGTAACATACAAAGCCGGGGAAAGTTGGAGTGAATTGCCGGATTGACTCATGGAAAGAAACTCAAGTCACTTAGGCCCTGTTGAATTCATATGATTTCACATAATCAATTAATCGAAAAAAGTGTTGAGGATGAAACTGGTGCTAAGTCTGTAACTTGGAGTGGAGAAGTTTACAGTTCTAATAGTCCTGTGGAACTTTATTCTTGACACTACTTTACAGAAGCAATCACCCAATAAATTATTCGCGCACTACAGCGCGTTTATCCAGCGGCTAAAATTGTAGCTCCTGTTCTTGAACCGAGAAACACGTAGATGTACGGTCCATCCTGTCTCAAATGTTATCTACTGGTTCACCTGAATTTGTATAACGGTATCTGAGTTAACAAATCGAAGAGCACCTCCCGAGTTCTACGAAAGGACATACTGCAATGGTTAGTAAAAAAACAAACCGGACACGACGAGAGTCATTCTCATCGATCACCAGACAGTTGGGTAAGACGGGCCAAAGACTAATTTTTAATAACTCGTTTTTATCTACTGGTTCACCTGAATTTGTATAACGGTATCTGAGTTAACAAATCGAAGAGCACCTCCCGAGTTCTACGAAAGGACATACTGCAATGGCTGGCTAGTAAACAAACCGGACACCACGAGAGTCATTCTCATCGATCACCAGACAGTTGGGTAAGACGGGCCAAAGACTAATTTTTAATAACTCGTTTATCATTTCGCTAGGTGACACGAATGTGTTTCATCCAGCAATCAGTGGGACTTTAGGGATCAAAAGTCACCAGCGAATCTTACGTGTTCAAGAAAGTTTACATCACAAAGGCACATTATTATATTAACGACCTGACTGTGTTCTTGATTAGTTTGACTGTCAACCATGCACCCATATTTCGTAATCAACTGATATGTTGTGGTAACGTAAATGCTAATAAGAGTACGTATGACTTCCCGCTGCTTTAAGTAGTACATTTGACTGATCTCCATGTAGTGACTCTTATAATCAATAAACTGTTCAACGGAGTCAATTATTCACCTAAGCAGTACATTATGAATTTGGCGAAGCTATGTGTCCCCTCAAAGATATATGGTGGAATTCCATTCACCCATAAACACTGTAGCCGCAGCAAAACAAACAATCAAGAATTCATCCTTTATCTCGTTCAAATGAAGCTACTGGAGGGTCATGGCCCACATAGTTGTAAAGAGGTATGAAACGCCTTCCCCTTCCAGAGTCTTCAGAGAGATGAAGCGATTTAGTCTAAGAAAGTTCTAAACCGCTAAATCGAACAATTAAAAAGAAACTTGTTGAGATGCGTGGTCATCAACAAGTAGTCTCAGTCTGAAGTGCTATTGACACAACAGAAGAGTCTTATAAGTTGAACAAAACCTGTCATCCATAAGGTAGTCTGAAAACTTCAACAGAGCGCAAATTTCTCATTAACTGCTATTACACGGAGAACAGTTCGAACGCACCCGACACCAATGTGAATAAACATTCTGACACAATTTCTCAGTAAAATGGATGTTTTGAGACGTAGACACAAAGTGGCACAATATCAGCTGTTAACAAAACGGAATATTTTGAATAACGTTGTTATAGTATTCTTTTAGGCGAAACTCATTCAAATTAAACGGATTCGGATCTATGGATGCGATTATATGAAATGATTAATCGAAAGCCCGACGTAATTTGCATTCGGAGTCACACCGATGACATGGTTCTTCGTAAGTGCGTTTAAAGACTCCTCATAATACCCGCATAGACCCAGAACCTCCCGCCGTATGACGACACGTTTGGCGTTGCTGTCTCTTCCACATGACTAAACATGCTTGCATAAAATACGGAATTCGCTATGGAGACGCTTGCTGAGTATTGATTGGTTTACCATTTTCAAACCGGTTTGTCTTCTGAGAAGGAGGGCTACAACGCTGCTATAGAAGACCAAATTGACATAACAAGTCCTTGGGACGCGGGATTAAATGAACGGACAGATAGATGAAGCGTCGCACAAATACACCATGAACGACAGACATCAAGTAAAGTCGTTAGCATGCCGGATGTCTAAACGACGTTGGCGTAACGCAGTGGTATTCGACAGCCTGTGTCTCCACATGGGTCAACATACATGCCTGCATGCAATTCACTAGCTCGACTCCATCAAGGTGTTTGCAAGAAACCGATCTGTACGCACTCAGACGGGAAGATAGTAATGATAATTAGGTGGCAAGTAAACTACGCGTAACTATCACTGGTAACATCATTTGACTGCTGCACAGTCCCACGTTCTAAGTTCTTTGAATTTCATGTTCAACACCAACGCTTCGCTGCCGCTTGGTTAACTCCGAAACACTTCAACCGGTATAGGTAGATGTGAAGCCAGAAGCTGATAATAAATGTTGAGACAATATTGTCTGACGTAACGCTTCATAAGCAAAGGTTTATTTATGTAGGTACATTCAAGTAAACCAAGTAAAGTGGATTTGGGAAGAATATATTTTTGGTTGTCATTTGATGGAGTTGATTATGTCGCGACCAGGTGGCACATGCAGGGCGATTGTAGCCCGTAAAAGATACTCCATTGTGACAACGAAGCTGATGCTTTGTGACACATAGCATTCGAGTTTTCAGTCTTTCCGTCTGCTAGAATATGGATCGAGGCAACATCCCGTGGGCGCCATGTGTTCACATCCGTTATGATTGAGCGTTGTAATCAAGAACCTGTAAAAGCATTGGAGTTTTCAGTCTTTCCGTCTGCCAGAATATGGATCGAGGCAACATCCCGTGGGGCACAGATCACCAAAAACACTTACACTGTAAACAAGAGTCAGTCTGGGCTCTGTGTAGTAGGGGAGATAATGTGAAGGACGTTGCAATGAGAAACTCCACTCCAGCCAGCTTGCGTCGGAAGGCGGCGATGCTGAGTAAACGAAACTATACCACACCACAGCTAAATCCATTCATTCCATTAGGTTGCATTACGCGGCCAACTGTACTTATACGCTGGTGATCTATTTAGTCAAACGGAACACTGGTTTGTGCTACTCTCGATTTATGTGCAACACCATTTGGGAGCAGGTAAACATTTTTTTAAACTTCGTAAGGCAGCTAGACCTTAACAAAATGGCAGAAAGAGTCTTTCCATATCCAATGTAAGATTGAACATAAATTTCACATACACACATACATTTGAACTGTTTTCAGCATCCTATTATACAAGACTTCTCAAGCTTTCCTGCGAGTTGGGCAAATCTCTGTTTGAATTTCTTCCCTATTTTCAGGTAGGTGTACTTCTCTTGGCACACGATTCTTTCTTTCATGAGTTCTTTACATGTTTTATTGCTTTCATGATGGTTACCAACTAGTGATCAATCAATCAATTCAATTTATCAGCTATTAACCATGTACCATAGGCACATTGGTTCAAGCTGTTGCAGTTTCGATCACCGAAAAACGGGAGTGTGGGACGTACATCCGAGCCTTGGAGGCGAAGGCATTAATGCACGAGCGTCACTGACTGCGCGATTGGGCCATTTACCAACTATTCTATCGTGCATTGTTAAGATGTACGAACTTTGTCGTTTCAACGAAGGACAGACAGCCGCGTGGAGAATACATGGATAAATTTAATCCACTGTCATTTCACATACGGAACGAGTGATGTGAGCCATGCTCATTCACAATCTGATACGTACTGGGGTTGGGATAATACCGTCAACCACCCGTACGGTGGTTGTCATGTTCTTGCTAGTGTATTACGCAGAAGGCTTAGACTTCATTAATAATCACGATTCGCACTGGAAATTAAGAAGTCACTACCATACCTCTTTCAAGATAGAACATAATAGATGTATGAAGACGAAGTAGTGTACCTACCAGCATTCTACTAATGGGTGAAAAATGACGCGACCAACTGTCGGCATGTGAAAAGCAGAGAAGCCGAATCGTGGCCACTGCTGATTTTTTGAAAATATCGGGACGAAATGTTAGTCTACAGATAAGTCAGTCTCAGTTGAGTAGCGGACGTGAAAGGCAACATGGGAGCTGGAGACTAACGTCCCAGAGATACGGTATTTAAATGGGTTAATCGAAGCCTACCGAATAGATTCGACTAGGTCTCGGTTTATCCGAGTCAAGTTCGCACTATTGGTCGGAGAACCAACGAAGTTGATTTTCATGGCAACAGAGTAAGTGACCACATTCGGGTTGGCTTCATTGCCTTGGTGTGATACGAAGAAGGTCTAGTTAGGCGGCATGACGAGAGAAAATGCACAGCTACCCATGTCGGACTAATGAAATTGGGTAGTTAGAACATAAAATTTCAAATCCTATTACTTTCATGTGACCCTTGTGTTTGGATGGCGAATACCTACCTAGCGGGTCACAAATGATTGGCGAATCTGACTGCCACAAACCCTGAGAAATATACGATGACGGGGCGTTAACACAATTATGCCTTTAGTTAAGTTTACAATAGGGGACTCACTTTTATGTTGCTTCACAGGATGCATGGAGACTGGGGAAGAGCTGGAGAGTGGGAAAGGAGTGAGTGAACGGTATGTGAGGTGTATCAACTTAAGTTCGCAGGAAGTGCACTGACAAGCGATGTTCATCTGACTATGGATAGGCCGATTTGGCAGACTCTGGGGACCCGCAAGGATTACCTCCATAAACAGATCAAAAATGTATGCATCAGACGAAGCGAATGATTTGTATGAATTGTAGTTTACTGAAAATTCGTTGCCTCAAAAATGATAGCGACACAAATGTGAAATTTAAATGAAACCGCGCTGATTTCGTCACACACGAGAAACAGATGAAAATATTTCCAGCATCCTCTCACTTTAATTTTAAGATTTGACTTTATCATTGTTGTCTTTGTCGAGCTTTATGATCGAAAATCGGGATAGCCGAAGGATGGATTTAACCTTTTCCATACGTCTTCAACTCGATATAAGTAGCCCGGATCATTCAAATCCTGCGTTCAAGTGCAGAATTGGCTTACATGGAGCAAACACATACCACAACATCTACAATTCTCAAGCAAAAGGTCGAACAGAATCTCCTCAAGCAATTATTGTCACAACTGTAGAGGAGTTCAGATGCTGATCCACCCAAAACACATCTGAAATGACAAGAGTATAACTCGATGTTGAGCCGTAAGAAACGTTTCCCGGGTTGAGCCACCGTGTGGGCTTTCTATCTATTTACTTATTTTTAATTAGACACAACAATTATGATGACCGCTAAGTTGAGAATTCGCTGTATTAGGCGCCTGTGCCTACTGCGTAAGGTGATCCTCGAAGTCTCACGAAAGAATGAAAACTGTTTCTAGAGTGATTGTTTGTGGAGCAGCTGTAAAACATAAACCGTAATCAAGGGGCATTGGTCAAAACGACCCTGTGTGCAAAGGAGGCTTGTACAAACGCGAATTCATTTTTGTTGGGAGGTTTGGGCACATCGAGGGAACAAATGCATTCTAACCGTGCTTCATTTTGGAGCCCATCAGACAAAGTTAACCGATTAGCACAAACGAGAGATTCAGTTCAGTCTCCCGTGGGTGAATTTGCCAAAACTAACCGAAACTTTATCCCCCTCGATGCTTTTCACACACCTTCCAGAAGAAAGTATAGGTTCTATGCAGGGAGCTACCGGTGTTGGATGCTAATCGTGTGAGGTCGATGATTCTTCTGGAAAACTTAGCAAGTTCAAGCATTGCAACGATCGAAAGCAACATCACCAAGTATCACATCAGAAACAAGCCACAAATCCTAACCTGTGATTCGAGTCAGAATCGCTGTTAGGAAGCCTTTGTCGATCGACTGAGTTCGAACGGCGAGAATCATCTCCATTTCCATTCACAGGTACTGATCCTGAGACGGATTGTTTTTTTCTGTACTCTGAATGCGTTGTAAACTCGTCATCTGAACTTGGTAACCGATGCACGTGACTCCGAAAGCTGTGTCCCAGGCGGTGACTACGGGAATGATGACTGTTCAGTGTCCTTCGGACATCACGGTTTGGCTGGGAGACGCTTTGGACTTGATCTTGTTTACGTTTCGCGAGTGAATGAGGTGTCTCTTGCGGGAGGGATTCAGAGGAAGAGTACACTGAAAGTGCTGGCGAAAGACAGGAGCGAGAAGGTGTAGGGGATGTTGCGGGGCCGACCAGTCGTGGTGAAGACCTTGGACAACCGAGATGGTTTCCACCGGGTCTTCCTTGGTTATTTGAACTAGCTGACAACTGACGCTGTCGTTCAACACGTCTACAAGTTAATGTTCAACAAAGCCAATGACAGGCGGAGCAATTTTAAAGCCACTGTTCAAACAGAAGACAAAAAACATAAGTAGCTCCTGTATGAACACAAACGACAAACACTCACAAAATAATCCCAAGATAGGTCGGAAATAAATATACAGCTACGTCTATTAGCGGCAAGGTGAGCTGAGTGGCCTGGTATACACTACGCACCCTTTCGTGGTCCTAGATGATCTTCTCTTCAGTCCTAGATGTCTTATGCGAACCTTCACTTCAGTACACTCACCTCAAATCTTAGTGAAACCTACAGCGGGGTAATGTAGGGTTCAAGTAGAAAATAAGGTTGACGGAAACTCGGGGACTGCGCCTACCTGATGAGCACCAAGAAGGGCTAAACCGGTCGTGGGCTTTTGGAGAGCTTTCAGCAACCTTGTGAGTAGTTTCCTTTTAGAAAAACATGACGTTCTGTGCGAAAGACAGCTTCGGCGGTGCAGCGATTCCACTTTGAAAAGAAAACCTAAGAAACCCGTCCAACTACCCTAAATACTTGAGCGAAAACGGACAAAATGAATCCTGGAAGGTGAAGCAGAGCTACACGTAGAATGAACGAAAAGGATACAAGGTAATTACCATCATCAGCACCATTATCACTGACAACAGCACACTGGAAATTCACCGCCACACTGTCACTTTGGTTAGAGAGAACCAACAATGAGAACAAAAAACGAAGAGAAAAAAGTTTAGGGCTAGCCCGACTCGAACACGAACGGCCTCTACTCCCACACATTCATTTAGACAAGCTGAATAGAAAATTATAGCTCGGAAGTCACTGATATTGGTAACCTTTTGCTTCAGTACATGATTTGCACATTCCAGTTGCAGTCCGGATGACCTCCCACTCGCCTTGTCCAAAGATGGGGGTGAAGTCCTCAGTCAGTGCTTGTCTTATCTGTTTGCTTGCATTTGGGAAAAGGAGTCTGTCCCAGACAACTGAGAAGAGTCGGTGATAGTGCCCGTTTTCAAGGAAGGGCTCGTAGTGAGTGTGGCAACCACAGGGGGATCTGCTTAACCCCGGTTGTAACAAGACTGCTGGCGTCACTTGTGCTTCTTTGTGTTAGGGTGGCTCGCGAAATACTGACTCGAGAGCAACAAGCGGGATTCCGACCTGGTAGGGGTTGCGTTGACCAATTCTTCACACCTCGTCACGTGTTCGAACAACGCCATACGTATAAGCGACCCACAATTTCAGTGTTCCTAGATTTCTAATGCACTTTTGACTTGGTTGACCGGTCTGTTCTGCTTGAAAAGTTTGCCCACCAAGGAATGCCTCGGAAGTTAGTGAACATAATAAGCTGTTTGTATTTCCAGACTTCTGGATGTGTGAGAGTATACGGAGAGCTCTCCAAAAGCTTCCGTACACAAAGTGGTGTCCGTCAGGGATGCCCACTCTCCCTATTCTTGTTTAACTTTGTGATCGATGAAATCATGAGACAAACACTAGAAAGTTCCAAAAACCCCGGTGTTCAAATAGACTGTGACGAAAGCCTTGTCGATCTGGGATACGTAGGCCATATCATTCCCATCTTCGAAGAGGAGTAGAAGGCGCAAGTGTTTTTGGATGAACGGACTAAAGTCATCCCGTCTTTTGGTATGCATTTCGCACACACAAAGTGTAAGGTCATGCTAATGGACATGCAGTCACTGAACACGCCACTTACAATCCATGGGGAAGCACTCAAAGTTGTGGGCGTTTTACGTATCTTAGAAGTTGTATTAGTTCCAACTGTAGTGTGACGGATGAGGTCAATGCACGAATCTGCAAGGCTCGGGTTGCGTTTGCGAATTTGAGATACACCACCTAAGTGGTGTATCCCTGAATCTCAAGGGACGTGTGTATCAAGCTACAGTGCAGCTGTCTTTTCGTATGGCTGTAAGACTTGGACCATTCGAGAAGCGGAACTGAGATGTCCTCAGGTGTTCGACAGTCGTTGTCTCAGAACCATAGATCGTACTGTGTCCTGTACTGTACTGTACACAGTGTACACTCACGTGTACTTGAACTTCGCATCTCAAACTAGGTTTACTGACATCCCGATGACGTCAAATTTGAGCATACTGGGATTCTACCGTTTCTCTAAAACAAAGGGCATGACCTGCAGGACAGGTTTTTTGGGTAAAACTCAATGTTAATGAATGCTTGGCCGGCGCGATCGAGTGCAGATGCAGCATCGATCAGTTTCTGCTGAGTGAAAGGCCTCTCGGGCCTCGGAGTTGCTGTTATACCCAGTTGGTTAGGTGCACTATAAGCTCGTTGTTGTGCACTTGGAGGATAGTGATCATTTGTGGATAAACTAGGTGGCAGTCAAAATCCATAATTTGATTTCTGGTTAAGCGTCCAGTCAGGGGGTCACCAAAGTAAATTCCACAGTAAACACTTGAACAGACAGGTGTCGTTTTATCTTGCGAAGAGTTCTCCGATAGCAAAACTCGCTATATGGGAAACATGGATGAATTTCTCCTCCTGTCTTAAGGCACAACCACTGTAGTTACTTTGGCATACATCTGAAGCAAATGATTTTGGAGAAGAGGAAAAGGACAAAATGTCTATTTCAATGGAGGGTCCCCCTTCGAAGAGGTCACTATGTTAACCAACAACGATCTGTAAAATCTGGTATAGTAAACACTATTTTACGTAGTTTCGAATGCTGTTTTCCAAACAACTGGCTTTTAACTTGGTTAGATTACCGTATAAAACGGATGCGCTCTACCAACTGTCTGGATGATTGTACAGTAGGTAAGAGGTTGCGGATTCGGATCTCTTTCCTTGGCTGTCAGTCCTGTGAATACCAGTGAATATACCTTCCAGGTTTGTACACTCAAGATGATAAGCGAGGGACCTCGGGTTCAACTCAAGGCCCAAAGCCCGACCATTTTTCTGGCATTATGTACACTTGAATACTATTGAAAATACACTACCTGGCTACCCATAGGGGACATAAAGAAACAAGAATAGAAAAGCAGCTGCTAAAGACCAACCTCAGACAGGACATTCAAAGATTGTCCTCCTGAGTGAATTTAAACGTATGGTTAGAAAACAACTAACCACTTGAAGAAACAGTATCCATAAGGTCACTGAAAAATTCTCGACAGCAAATTTATGGATAGTGTTCCTTCAAGAAAATACGTTGCGATATCTCAAATATCGTATCAACTGAAACATGAGAAGACCCGTGTAAAATACATCCCATTTGAAGAACATGACAAAAGAAATTCAGGTAAGACCCAGCTGAGTCTCACGTTAAAACAAAATTGGTGTGCGAAAGCTGACCTCCTTAGAGCGATTTCCGCCAAGCGCTGCTCACGTTGTCTCACGTACTCCGTAGGATCAAACCGACGCGCTGCGAGAAATGAGAAAGGAACATGCTTTGCATCACAAATTTGTCACTATCAATAATTTGACATCCAGTGATAAGTAAAAATACTGATAACCTATAGAAAAAATAATACTTTCAGGAATCCTTTAAAGTTTGTCAGTCCATGTGTACTTAAGAAAGTCTGGGTTTTGTGTTCAGCACGCTGGGCGTGATAATGAAAGCTTACAAGAGCTGAAATACAGCGTCCTACTCTACAAACCAACTTGTGCCAGCCACAAAGCATACTTTCGCACACGAATTCATCAACACTGAACAAACAGAACTCCCTTATAAAAAACATCCAGAAAGATCATCCAAACCATGGGTTTTTAGTGGGAACTCGAGGGAATACGACCGGATGGAAGAGTGGTAAAGACACCAATATATGCAAGTAATACCCCAGAGATGTCAAATCATGTGGAGGCGGCAAACACAACAACCGCATGGTACAGAGAGAATGGCACGCCAGGCCGCACCACTCATGGGAGGCATTGGATACACGGTAGTCAAGGAGAAAAAACTCGAAGCACTGTTGTGGACGTAATATTCTGGAATGTTCAGAGATAAGATAAGTCGATTGCAGATACATGAATGAAACACAAACTGGAGTACAACAGAATACAGTTTAGAAGAATTCGACAGAAGAGAACGCACACAATAATAATACACTAATACAACTTACATCACATTATAAACAATAACATCATCATTATTATCATCATAACAATAATGGGATGAATCTCACGTCATTTCGATCGGTACATTGGATAACGGACATCTGGCTAGACGGACACAAGGTGCAGCTGGTTCACGACAGAAATGGGTGGATAAAAGGGACCCTAACATTTTTCATAAAAAGCTGCACATGATCAGCGTTGCTTCTACCCGAAGGTTCCCGTAAACCAAGCGAGCAGACTAGACGTCAGTCAACGGACAAATGCACAAAACGATGTAGAATTCTCAAAAACGGTGTCCACATATATAACCTTTGTTCATAAGGTGAGCGTGCGAATGACATATGAATTCGGGAACTCTGATGTATGAAAAGTACACATCCAGAACTAACCCTGATATTGTCGTTCCGATGATGATAGCCGCCGGGGGCGCGCGGTAGGTGAAAACGCGCTGTTTGCTCGAGATGTAAAGTGGCTGCCGCTAGATGTGGCAAGCATGTAGCGATGAGTCTGAGAGACCGGGGAAGCACTTGGTCGGTGGTAACTGGGACTGACACTGCCCGTTCTGCGTGAGGCGTGTACGAATGGCGAAATGCTTCGACGGAGGAAGTTTGAGGAATTACCATCGCGAAGATCCAAGCTACAGCTTCTTCTGTTGAATCGGTCGGACGAAAATGATCGACAACCACCGCTAAGTGAAAAACCATTATCAAGTTATTGGTGTCTTGTGAAAAAGCTACTTTTAGAATGGATCGGTGGTCTGAACAGAGCATGCTGGAATGCACATGAATATCCGGAAAAATATGAACTGTATAGGAATGTCTCCTCTACAGAGAAGCTTCATACCCAGGAAAAAGTGAATTTCTCGTTAACTGTTCACAGAAATTTGGATATATCAAGACAATTTTCAATGTCTACCAAAGTTGACGTGAACCTTTTGCCGACCTTTCCATGGGACTTATGATGGAGTCACTAAACGGACGAGATTCATTCAGTTGTCACCATTTACTCAACACGGAACGCGTCCTTATCATGATCCCGGCCAACTTCTGACGTCATTTCGTATGGCCCAGCCATATTATGGTTGCTGATTTTCTTTAGCACCTCTGGGGTGCACTTCCAAGGTGACATTCTTCCAAACTGTTTGTCGAGAAACCAGAATAATATAGCCTGATCACGTGAGGGTGGCAAAATAAGTAAGTGGACTATTAAAGACAAATTACGCACTGAACGAATGCCGACGTCGGAAAGGAATCTGATACTATCCTACACAAAGACTACTTGTGTAGTCCTTATATACACCAGCTTAATTTATAGAACAAAACCGAAAATGGAAGCATAAACAACCCTAGATATGGAACTTCACAAAGTAGCAAGTAGGTAAACACAGTACATACTTTCTTTTGATTAGCTTCAACTCAGTTGTCAACTGATCTATTCGTTCGTACAAGCTCCGCTGACTTGCATAGGCTGCATCCAGATCAGTGCGAAGTCGTTGGAGTTCATAGCGATGCTGAGCAGCCTGACGAGCGGAATTTGTTCTTTCCTCGAAAAGTTCATTTTCCAGGCTGTCTACAAATGCTCGAAGGTTAGGCTGTATCACATTTCCGTTATATGTGGCGGTGTTATTCGACGTAACAGACTGTCTCTGTAACTCCGACATTTGTTGCAGAAGCTTCCGATTTTCCTCCGTTAGCCTCGCAATCCTAGTTTTGGTACAGGAATAATAGAACAATTTATTCAAATTTAAGGACAGACTTCAGGCGAAATAAGTTTTTTTGGCATATCAAGAGTTTTGAGCTTCGAAAAATCACTATCGAGAGAGTAGAACGGTAGTGGAGGTATACAGCAAGAGGTATCAAGAGAATGTGGCAATTGAAAAGGGCTCTTGATAATGAAGATCCAAAGGCAGTAAATTGAACAGGAAGTCCGGGCTGTTAACTGTTACATCATACAAATGTGCAGATGCTGATCGAAGTACCATCGTCTCATGCTATATGACGACGGAGCTCTTCACAGTTTGTTTCGCTTCAGATGTCCAAACTCAGGCCTTGTTACTATTGCTCCATGGTGAGGTCTGCAATACCAATGATCCCTGAGCATCAACGTTCGCATATCCCCCATCGTTCTCGAATGGGTGCATCGGTTAAAAACGAGATTAATGCAACAAACGGATAATGTTCCGCACCTATTAGACTTCCGTACTCCAAGATTGGTAGTATCAACGAAATCATACCGTTCAACTACGCATCCATCGAAATAACACTGCTGTGTTGTGTATGAATCTATTGTGAGATGTTTCTGCAGCATCACTATGAGTTTTGCAATTTAGAAAGTATTTTATCCGTGATTCGGTAGATTTATCTATTTACCGACCGATCAGCTATGCAAAAATACTAGTGTTGGTAGACGATCCATATTCTTAGCCGTCATATCTTGTATATAACTTAAGTCTGTATTCTATGATTTCATTGACCTCTAAAACGTAGGATCGATAGCTTCACGAGTTGCAGCAGCATCGCAGTGTGGTGTTGCAGAAGCTAAGTAAACTCAAATTTAGAACAACGTTCATCAATGACTTGTTCGTGTTAGGAGGACGAAACGTCTCGTAAGGAGGCGAGAAAACCTTCGGAAACTATTCTAACTGATACCCACAACAGGTCACAAAAGGCATCTGTCGAGCAACGAGTCAACGATAAAACTTCCTTGTTTATCCCTAAGAAGAACGCTTGAATCTATCTTGCCACCTGGACCAATTAACCAGATTCCTGATCTGAAAAGAGCCATGGACAGTGAACCTGGAACAACGGCTTTTGAAACCGAGTTGCTGATATTGACTCCACTAATTCTGTTTAAGAATGGAGGGAAACTCCTCAGCCAATGACTGTTTGACATATTTACCCGTATCTAGATGAAACGGACCGTCCAAACCAACTGTGATGAGTCAAAAGTATAGTCCATTTTCAAACTAGCTGCTCGTACTGAGCGGTAATCACTGCGGGATTCGCTTTACCTATGTTGTAACCAGGTATTCGAATCGCCCATTTTATTTCTTCCTACGAGAGAAAATGAAGACGTGACCCGAGAAAAGCAGCCAGGATCCAGACCGGGAAAAAGTTGTGTGGACTGCTTCTTCACTTCGATTAACTATTTGTTAAAGCAAAACCTTGCATATAGGAACCCCACACTCTTGATCTTCCTTTACTTCAATTATGCATTCAATTCCGTCGACCTGCTCGTTCGTCACAACGTTCTTGTACAGAAAGCTTGCCCCAGAAGTTCATGAATAACATATGCTCCTTGTATTCACGCAATTGTGGGTGTGTGAGAGTGCTTGGGTAAATCTCAGAAATAATTCGTCCAAAAAACGACGGGGTGAGTACGCACCATCCATTTTTGTTTAGTTATACCACTGAGAAGACTGTGAAAACTGCGAGACTTGGACAATTTTGGTGGAATCTGAGATATATGCAGGTTTTCGACAATCAACATCTTCAAATTATGGTCGGAATCAGACGAACTCAGCGAATTCGGAATCAGGAGGTCGGGAAAAGGGACTGTGGTGAGGTAAATGGTACGTCACTCAAGGAATGCATTGAATACCACAAGCTAGGGTGGCTGGAACATGTGATCACGCATGTCAGATTATGGGCTTCTGGGAGAGCTGCTTTCCGTGCCTAATTTGAAGATGCGGAAAGGAATGAAGAATGTTACGAAAAGTCTGGGTACTACTGGTACGCCTTCCAGGATGAATCCCTCTTTTGATCGGTTGGAGATGGTGAGACATATGGCAGCTAACCAACGTCAGCGGCGTTAGCTCTGCCGGATTTTACCCAGATTGTTTGAGGCAAAACAGATTTTACTTCCCCTGAATACTCGTTTAACTCATCATTGTGATTTTCAGTGGCAACAACCGCTCAACTATGGTCAGGTACATGCCAGCAACACGCCCCCTAGTTCAACCGAACTTGAGAAACATGATTGTTTTGGTTTCCCAGCGTGGCCATGGCAGCATTTTGTAAGCATAATACAGTTTCCGGAAATAACACAGATGGAACTTTGCAGCTAATAAAAATTAGCTGCAAAGCGAAGTTGACTGGACTTCAAACAGTCATTATCAAATCATTACTGGGAGAAACAGACCACCTGTGTCGGAAAGTTTCGATGCAAATTCCCTGCGATTTCTCAAGGGTGAGTGCTAAGCGTATGAACGTCGCTCACTTGATGTATCGGGCAGTTAGCTGCTGTAAGGCCATTCAGGGTGGCCTTCGCCAAAAATGTCAAGATATGGGGTTGAGCTTATAGGTTCTCACAGACTTCTACGAACTCGAGACGGCTACCAGAAAACAGCATTCCATGAAGAAAGCCTGTTAAAGTAGCGTGTAGACGACATCCCATTCGGAAAATAATGCGATCCACATGTAAACATCCCATCGAATGACCCTGATTGGACTTATGATGGCAAATGGAAAAGTGCAAGTACCATTCAAAGTTCGGTCCACAAAAGGTTATTTGGACCTAATAAAAGCAACCTGTTTAGATGATAGTTTCATTAGCATTCAACTCCTACAGGTAAACCAGGAACAGGACGGAAGGTGTCAACCAGCATGCTAGAAAATCAAAATTTCACATGAGCACTACAGAGGTCCACATACAATCAGGCTAGTTTCGACCAACTTCAAAGTCTAATACGGCACATACGATGTTATCACCTATTGAAGGGTGAGAAAAAGAGTTGCGTTAGGATTTGCTGCAAAATGTCCCATATCGTTAGGGAGAACGGTTATGTGTAATGTCCTGTATGGTTTATAGGAAGGTGTAGAGATGCTATAGCGGCCAGCTTGACAGTGGCTACTCGTTTTGCATTGCAGCCGCATCGTTCATCCTCAACAAAAGCCTCCACCAAGAAAAGTTTGAAGTGAAGACACGGCTTTCATAAAGGAAACTACTCACAAGGTTGCTGAAAACTCTTCGACGGCCCACGACCGGTTTCGCCCTTCTTGGGGCTCATCAGGAAGGCGCAGTCCCCGAGTTTCCGTCAACCTTATGATCTACTTGAACCCGAATTGCACTGTTTTCGAGAAATACACTCATATGCAAATCAATTTGGTGTTCACGGAAGACTCAATCGAATCTCCCGTTTATGATGTCCTCCAGCTGAATGTGCTGCACACGATGTTCCTTTATGAAAATTTACCGCGATATCTCGAATATCGTGCCACACATTTGCACCTAAGTGTCGTACAGCTATGAATTAAATCGTTCAGCTGTAGCACTTTATCGGTGCATAGCTACCGTGCAACCCGAGGAAGAGAGGGGGGCTGAGCTTATGTCAGGTTGCCCAAGTCCAGACAGGAGCAGTCAACATGCGGAGTTCAGGTTCGAACCACAAACCTTCCGACCAGTAAGTCTACAGCTTAACCACCGCTATCTCATGCTCAGCTATGATGGCAGAAAAGTCTAGTAAAGAGTGAAAGTGCCCAAGTCCAGGAGCAGTCAACATGCGGAGTTCAGGTTCGAACCACAAACCTTCCGACCAGTAAGTCTACAGCTTAACCACCGCTATCTCATGCTCAGCTATGATGGCAGAAAAGTCTAGTAAAGAGTGAAAGGATAGGGAAATGTAGGGATTTAATATGAAGACAATAGTTAACGTAAAGCTACCAAGAACAAGATGTACACTCCTTTGGATAGCGGTATACTAGACACATCTGAGCATCATGTCAAATTAGAGGGCCAACAGCGAGAAGGACCCAGCGTCCTTCGCAAAGCCCACCCGACATAAACCAAACGCACGACAGGCAAACTCAATTAAGCAGTCCGGCTAGGATGTGACAGCATGTGAACCACATCATGTAAGGCTTTTAATCATCTGTAAGAGTAATCAAGTGGGGCCCGGCCAGAAAGGCCCAAAGATCCTGTAGCATTCAGTTTGTCTGTAACGGATTTCACTTAATATTGCCATATTTGTCTGTCCCCCAAGACAAGTTGGCCGAAAATCATTTAGAATAATGATAGTCATTCAGATAACATTTTTGACCCCTCATTCATTTAGCTGCAGCATTCTTTCGTGCCTAACTGCCGTGCCACCCGAAGGCTGCACGAGGGACGGGATACTGCCAAGTTGCCCAAACCTAGACAGGAGAAGTCGGAAAACAGAGGTCTGGTACGAACCACGGACCTTCCGGACCTTCGCGCTCTAACCACTTGGGCCATCTCGCCTAGCTGCTATGCAATCCGAAAGAAGCACCAGGGCAGAGATAATGCTGGGTTGCCCAAGCCTGGACACGAGCAGTCGAGATGCCGTAGTTGGGCTTGAAATACGGACCTAATGGTCAGTAAGTTTGCGCATTAACCACTAAGCCATCTTAAACTATGGACAGAAGGCACCTTTTTGGATAGTGATTGAACATACGCTTCAAAGGGGTACAGAGAAAGGCGAAATCATGATGACTTGGCATTATGAGGCTACGAAGCGCATGCCTGAGCACTGGACTACACATCCAAACATCCTATTCAGCCTTGGTTGTCACTGTCATAATCGACAATACAGTCTTCAACACTGATGCTTTGCTACCGTATAACTATAATTTATTTGGAAGTTTTAGTGTGGATAAGAGAATGAAAGTGGATGATGAAGAAACTTGGTGCTAACCTAAGACAAGCAGTCTCGGGTGTCCGCATCTCCAGACATCCATTCAGATAACCTGGATAAAAACTGACACCAGGAGCGTCACTGACAGTGATCAACAGCCACAACTTGCAGTGACTTCAGCCATGCACGGGGGGACAACCGTACCTCATCCTGGAAAGCGATGCGCACCAAAAGAATCAATACTTTTTTCAAAATCCCTTTCACTAACCTCCTACCAAGTCTAGTAGTAACCACCTCACCGCTTGCGCCATTCAGAATAGAAGATTAAAAACAGTCCTGAATTCGAAACACGATGATTAAGCACACACAATAGGTAGCCTAAGCATAGTACACTCTGCAGCTGGGTATTTAGGCAGGTTGGAATCCCCGTTGCACAACTGAACACTCCATAATTGCCTCGTTACGGATACGCTGGCGCCAGCTCACACGAGCCATTGTTCGTGTGCTCACGAAGACTAAGTCTCACACCCACATAACAAAACAGCCCGCACCGTAGCCTGATACATGCGTTCTTTGAGATTCACAGACATGCTCTTTTGTCTTCAAATGTGTCTCGAATTAGCGAATGCGACCCCAGCCTTGGGGATACGCGCACACTCGGAACTAGTACATCAGCCAATATATGTAGCACGCTCTGCGACTTCGAACACCTCTCTTTCCGGTTCTCCCTGGAAATCTTTGATCAGAAGCCAGTTACCCTATCACCTACTTAGAAAGCGTCATCACGGAAAACGGGTACAAACACTCATCTTACCGAAGTTTGGAGAGAACGGGAAAGATGGATTTGATGCCCTTTAGTACTTAATTCACAAGGACTACGAGTCTGTCATCGTCAAAGAAGTAATCAGAGCCCAAAAGTTCACTAAGGCGTAGAAAACTCTGGTAACCCATGAATTGGATGCGACCACCCAACTTCCGGCAAAGAGAAGATACTTTCTGTGGGGATACTACCTAGACAGATTCCCACCAACCTCAAAGGATACTGATAGTCTTAGTAGGGTTGATGTTCACAATTTGTCATCTGAATTGGTTGCGCTGCTGTTCATTCTCAATAAGTATTGGTTAAGATTTTTTGGAAATGGAAAATAGGATTTGAACACTTTCTCGTAATTTAGCTCTTGAGAACAGCTGGTCCCTGTTCAGATACAAGGTCAACACGATGGTGGAACTCTGCGGTTTGCCTCTTCAATGGTGTCCATTTTCTAATAATCCACCATGGATTGGTGGAACATCGCCAACTGATGAAATGTAGTCGAGATTTCTCTTAATGTTCAGAGGTAATGTGTGCAACAACATTTTGCATAAGATTTGCAGTAGCGAGAGATCACCGTACCCGGACGAAAGGCGTGAAAGGAATGTACTGCCGCCAGAACTGTCTCAGGTACCTGGATATCTGAATGCAAGTACAAAGGTCGGGAGCCGTACCTCTATCCTATACATGGATGCAAACATATAAGATCGCACTGACGACAAGGAAACCAACCACCGTGTCATCTAAACTTATTGAACAATTCGCTCACCATGATGCAGTAGTGAAAGACGCGGATTTTAACCAAGATGAACTAAGGAATCTCTCGAAACCAAACCACGATGGGGTGTACAGCTTGATTCTGAAGATGCCCCTGGCTAAATCCTAAAGCCGGGTACCTTCCCGCTAACTGGAGTTGTCGAACTTGTCCACAAGTAGCAAAAGTCTGATAACATGAAGCGAATAATCGAAGGTACTCTGCGAGCACTTGAAACAGCTTTACGTTCTGTTTACTGATCAACGGGACTTCGACCTTGTTGCCCCTATATGGTGGAAGATGCCGTGTTGTTGTCATCATGGGCATGAGCGTCCATTAGACAAAGTGTATGGAGTGGATTCTGGTGGGGCTCTAAGGCAGCAAGGCAACAGAATACTTCTTTTCCAGAATGTCGGCTTCCAGTAAGTAAAATTGGCAACTACTGCCCAATACATATTAGTTATTGAACCTTAATTTTTTAAGTCATCCATCATAAAAGTAGTTCACAGTACTCAATTCCGATTGTCTGCCGGTGATAGGAAGGTCTGATGTGAAGTATATTGCCAAGGATGGGAGGAAGTGAAGAACCTCTTCGAATCGCTTCGTTAATGGTTAGCTCAAGACGACTAGTGGTTAATGTTTGAACTTACTGACCGAAAGGACTGTGGTTCGAACCCGATCTATGCATCTCGACTGCTCCTGTCTAGGTTTAGGCAACCTGGTAGTATCTCGATCCTCATGCTTCCTTCGAATCGAATCGCAGCTAGGCACAGAAAGGGTGCTACAGCTGAACCACCCAGGTTATTCAAACCAGGATTACCCCTAGCAGTGACAAATTTACCATTATTTCGAGCGGCCCATTTGATTTGCCTGGGGACAAAAATACCAAAGATGTCTGTTTCAAAAGTGAGTGTGATGTCTGAGGACCCTAGTGATCCCTTGCTTGAACACCGACCTGGACAGTGGGAATCACTCAGTTAAGTAGGTCCCGTAAGTCTCAAACACCTGTTTGGTCATTATGGATTTCTAGTAGTCTTATGTTTGAAAGCGTGATGTACGGAAAAATAATGAATATCGTGTTTTGGCTGAGGCAACAATGATATAGCCCTAACAACATAGAGCTTCGATGCCGTAAAGGTGGCACGATTTTAACTGTGCGATTTCTTGTTGGATATTAAATGATTTCTCTTGCCTGGCCTAATGTAACTCGGCTCATGATGATTCTTTTCTAGCAATGTTCACAAGAACTGTCACGAAGATTATTGCTTTCGGTGACGTTCCTCGATGGCTCCACCAAGTGCCCACCGCATTGGCTTTATGCATACAACTACAGAGCTGCCAAAAATTTTATAGCTTGACAAACCAGTACTGCACAGATGTGCCACGAGCTGCAGTACTGACAAACCACTCAGTCTCACAAAAAGCGAGGACTCGATTACGTATAAGCTCAACGCACCACAGCAATAATTGTATGAGGGACTCAGCAACTTCTTCGATCCTAATACTGACGACTCAAGATGAAGGGTGCAATTCGAAGATCTACATATCAAAAAGGTTGGGACTGCTCACCAGAGTTGCGATTTTCTCAATAGCGGTGAAAAACTTGAATCGCATTCCGTTAGTGGTTCATAGTATTGAGTCCATATCTAGCCTGAAACGGACCACATCCTCATCGTTCCAGCGAAATCTCTAGGAGATATGTACAGCAAGACTGACGACCTCGTAGTGATGATCAAGAAATAAAACTGACTAGGGACCCAAGAGACTATGAAGTGAACAATGCCCCCCCAAAAAACCATAAAGGATTCCAACCACAAAGGCGACAGACTCAAACGTGATTCAACCAACCTAGTCATTGCATGTGACTCACTCGGGATGAGGGATCGAAGTGGACTCAGGAACACATTTATCGTGTTGTCTAAACTGGCACAGTTGGGAAATTGAATAATTGTACATACATTGTGATGAAACTTTATTCTGTCAATCTCACTCCTGAGATTCCGAATTAGACCCCGAAGAACTTCAGGAGTAAGTACGCCAACATGTGTCAGCGGCAGTGGGTAACGGACTTTATCAAACTCCGTTACGTATGAAAGGATGAGGTATCTCTTGTCTTGCCTATTGGATAAGGGGCGCCCAGAAGCCGCATTTGATTGAGTTTTCCGGAGTGAATCCAGCTCGTCAAATGACAAGAAATCTAACTGTAAACCTGAAACGAACTTGGGGCGTCGAAACTAATGACCAGAAACTTACCTCCCGTAAAGACGTTTGCAACATCGCGCAAAAAGTACCAAACCGCCTAAAGCTTCCAGTTTTTCGGGTCAATTCTTCAATATCTGCAGGATACGAAATAAAGAATGCTGCACAACTAACATTGACGTGTAAACTGGGCCTGCCATTCCTCACCGCTGTCACAGGAATAGACTTCCAACTTTAAAAGCGACTCGGTTTCCAAGAAGGATTGTATTTCATACTCACGGTCATTGAACGTTTTCACGGAAGACACGTAAGTTACAAAAGCAGAACTCATGGGAGGCACAACACTAGAGGCACGACAGACAAAATATTGACTGAAGAAAGAGTTGCTGTTTTTGATATGGTTAAACAAACTACATAATATTTTAGACTTCCTATGTAGCTGGTGACATAGTAGTTGATACATGAGCACACCAAAATCCTCATAGTTAGCTGAAAAGAACTTTCTCCCAACCGCATAGTGACAAAAAATTAGTTCTGGTGCGCAGTTAGCATTTATCGCTTGATTTACACCGTAGTATACGGTGTCCGTCAGGTTGATTGATGTGTGTATTGGTGATGTACAAACTTGCTTCGTGGGCTTAGGCTATTGAGCTAGGTTTCCGTGTTTCATCCACAGAAATTGTCGTGAACACCTGCCTTCGGAGCATCACTGCCCCTTGGCGCTTCCATAGCGTACATACTACGTTTTTGGCGACCACGCAAGGGTGGTTACCACACATGGTGGATCTGACACAAAGACCCTGGCTCTATACTGGTGAATGCAGGCCTCCGAGCTAATACGCGGTTCAACCACACACTGTGGACGCAGCCCCATACACAGCAACCTCCGCACACGCTCACCAGCCTCACGCACCACACCACTACATCGGCCGGTTCACGTAGACCATGGTACACCGGGGACGGTGTTCTTCAAAAAGGGAGCCAGTCTGGTATACGGTGTCTGTCAGTTTGATTGATTTATATGAAAGTATTGGTATTGTACAGCCTTGCTTAGTAGGATTTGGCTCAGGAGCTTTCTTTCTGTTTTCCATCCATGCAAATTGTCGTGGACACCTGCCTTCGGAGATTCGCTGTTCTTTGGTGCTTCCATAGCGTGCACTCTACAACACGGACTCATGGTGACGCCCGAGTTCTCTGGGTCGGTTTAGTTCTGTCATTCAGCGACTGCAGGTACAAGCGAAAAAGGGTGCGTCACTGCTATGTAGACTCTCAGCGCGGGGCAATAAGCTTGCCAGCGCGGGGACCGGCATCAAAAGCGTTCAGTAGTCCATTGAACTAGGGATCGGATAAAGCGGCGCACAGTATTCGCCCAATGGAATTGAATTTTTTAAAGATACGACGTGAGGGCTCGTTGGCCGCACGATGCCCTTATCTGCGAAAACGTCTGTGCAGAATAGAACTGTTTACGCCAGATTTCGAATTTACCTGCGTATGTCCTTAAACCAGAGACTACCCCATTTATTGTTTGCATTTTCGCAACTCCCCAAATTTCATCGTCCACTGAAGCAACCGTATATCTGTCCGAAAATTATGTTGAAATACTTTCCCAGGGCCACTGGTTCCCGGGTTGCCTAGGTGAGCCTGAAAAGCTTCGTCAGTTATTCCGAGTCCGATTGCCTGTCTGTCTCAGTTCATCACAGGGGTTTCCTAGCCTCGACCATTCAGTTCCATTGTGCGACTACTGAGAGCTTACGATGTGACCCTGATGAGCTTAAAGGGACAGGTAATTCAGTCCGTATTGGGAGTCCAAACTTTTGAGTTCCATCTGGGCATCCGGGGGTCTCAGCGTTGCTAGGACATCATTCCAGAAGATTTTTCCACCAGAGGTATGAGTGCTTCATTGGACAATGTGATTCGGTGAGCTGCAAAAATATGAGGTGATTTTTGGTGTGATGACATACGCAACAAAATGCAACATTTTTGCGCATAATTTTTATTTCCCTCGAGAAGGTTTTTCAGCTGAGAGCATTGTGCGGCTAATGGTCCCTGATACTTCACGGACAGGTGCCGGAGGGAGATTATCCCACTCATCAACTGCTCGAAATTGGGAACAAATCATGCCTAAAAAGTATGTGCTCTGAACTTGAGAAGCATCTTACTATGTTCCCGCCATGTGCTAATTTAGTCAACGGTGAAGACCCTGTTGACCAAGCCTTGTTCACACAAGGCTTAAGTGAGTACTAGGAATCCTCGGAAGAGGGAAAAAGGTCAAGCACCGTGAGACGCACTTCGCAGTTCACGGACCTAAGGCAAGCAACCACTTTCGTAGCAGCTGGTTGGACATGCTCAATGAAGGATTTGTCCTTCTTGCGTCTTGAATAGACAACTTGGTTGAAATATCCAAGAAATGGCTTGACGTAGGCCCCGCGGAGTAGGGGCTCCCTGACCGCACAATGCTTCCAGCTGTAAATGGAATGAAACTTTGGTCGCAAAAATCTTGCAGTTTGTTGCGTATATACTTGAACCAAAAACCGTTATAATCCACACTCGTATTTTGGCAGATCATCATTTTTAATTATCAACCGAAGCAACCATAGCTCTGATGGAGTTCAGTTGGAATAGATTCCTAGCGTGATCGTGAACCTGAGATGCTTTGATGGGGCTCAAACGTCTAGACTGAACTCATTTGCCTGCCTGTTTTATTCCATCAGGGACACGTAATAGGCTATGAAAATTCAGTTCCTTGTACGAATACTGAGTACCGAAGAGTAATATGGGGGAAGACGCATCAAATCATCCGTAGAACGATGAATCCCTTTAGAAACGAGTTCCGACGTTACAGTGAAGACATGTCCGAATGAAGCCAGATGCCCAAATTCTTTTTTGTGTCTACCCTCATGAAGTTTTCCGGTCCATTCCAACCGTGCGCGACATGGACGCCTGTTGAATCATCTCCGACTGATATATGGATGCAGTTTTCGACATTCAGAGAAAGATGCCAGTCCAATGACCAATGCTTTGCAGCGTCTACATCCATTTGGATGCCACTTGTATTTGAAATCCAGGATTTCAAGCCGTTCAAAAAGTAGGCTTGTACTTGCAAGAACATCTGGAAGGTCGTTGACGTATATCAGAAATGGCGGTGGTTCCAAAAGCAGAACATTGAGGGAATTCAATAGAGGCCGGCTTCAGTGTGATATGAATGCATTAATCCGGTGTAGGATCTTTTCTTCAAACCCACAGGACCAAGGTTTGTGAAGCGGTGAGACATGTGGGATTTGATCGAATGCTTTTGAAAAGTCGAAAAGTGTAGCATCTGATGTGCAGCCCTCGTCGTTGGTTTGTGTTGGGCTCTCCTTAAGTACGAGCATGTTGGTCAGGCAAGAACGGTTTGGAAGGATTCCTTGTTGAACTGGGGATAGCAAGTTGTTGCTGGTAAATTGATTTAGGACGGCCAGCTTCAGCACGCGTTCCATTATCTTGCATGTTATGCTATTGAGGCCTAAAAGCTTGTAGCTTTCGGGACATAGTCGGTCACTAGTTTTGTAGACTGACGTGACAATCGCCTCCTTGCGAGCGGGTGGAATTCGGCCTTCGTCCAACGACCGACGAAATGCTAGGTAGAATTATTTTGCCATTTTGAAAGTCATTTCTTGTAGGATGCCTGGATGAACCTCATCTATCCACAATGAGCCAAACGGGTTGGTCTTGTGCAAGGGTTAGCAAATGCCCCCTTGGGTGGAGTGGAAGTTAGTAAGAGGCTGATTATTCTTACGCCTTGACAAGCTTGGGTGTGGCAAAGTTGCCGGGACATAATACAGGTCTGCACAGTTTCTCGGTTAGCTTCAGACACAATTGTTGGGTCGCTCGTGGGCCGTCCGCTCCAAGTCGTCGGGGAGACCATGTTTGGCTTATTTCTGTGGGCACGTTTCACGTATGTAGACAGCACATTTTTGTTGTTCCGAGCGAAGTTCAGCATGGTGGTTGGTTTCCTTATGTTCCATTGGCAGACTTCTGACTTAAAGCGTTTCCGAGTTCCGCGAAATGCCAGCTCACCTTTTGTGTCTTATTAGCCACCCTTTGAAAAACAGTTGATATTTCTTCTCTTTTTCCAGACGAAAATCCAAGTACTTTTAGGTAGTTTGCGGCACACGCGATTGTGCACTTGTTTTTTTGGGCATCGGCTTCTTAAACCTTCTGGAAAGCGTTCCTGTATAACTCTTTCACTGACACAGGTCTTAGTTTAACTATTCAAGAAAGATGTGCGTTCCTGAGAAGTCTGCACGGTAGAAGTTTCTAACCCGCTTTTGGGGTTCGGATTTCTGCATAGTAGCACATGAAATAAAAAATCAATCAGGTATCTTTCGTCATTCAGGACTGAATCCAGGAGAGGCAGCTTTTGGCCGTTGCGGTGTCTGGTAGATTGGACGACACGTTGAGACCAAGCGCTCCGTTTAACTAGAATTAACACTGTTTCAAAATGCCCAATGGACCCGACACGCCGGAGCTCTGTCCAGGATGCTTTGGGAGCAATGATATTTCTTACCACCGACAAATTTGTGAAGTGGTAACTTGAAGTTGCTCAAGTGTTTGCATGAGGAAATGATCATCTTTCGGAGGACCCAAAAGGCGACAGTGGAACACGCAAACAAGAAGTGAATCGGTCCCCCACAGCGAGATTTTGAACCAGTGCATAGCGAAACGGTGCATGAATGGTGTCAAAGACGACGATCAGGATGTGAGGTGAATAAAATTATAAATTGATCCCACCAACCGTTCCCCGTTTTTAATCAGTGCAGTCGTCTATCGGGGTCTCACCGTCGGAGAAAAGGATTCACGGATTTTCACGGATTGATACACAGGATCGAGGCTTTATGCCCAAGGTTTCGGGTCGCTCTTGTTCTGGCCGGTCAGCGGCTGTCGTTCACCTGAAAGGCACAAGTTAAAAAAGGGTGTAGCACTGCTCTTCATGTTCTCAGCGCGGGACAGCATGCTTGCCGGCGCGAGGATTTGCGTAAATAAATGTCTAACAGTACTTTAAACTGAATTCTAGAAGGAGTGTGAACAACCGTAGGAGGAAGGTCATTCCACGCAGCTACTACACGGAATGAGAAAAATTTTGTCTGATGAATGTGTGCTCTGACCTTGAAAATTTTCTTACCATGTCCCCGCCGTGTGTTTGCTGGTTCAACGGTAAAAAACCTGTTAGCAAAGCTTTGTTTGAACGGGGCATAAGTAAGAATTAGGTCTCCTTATAGTCGACGGTACTACACCGGGCATCCGGTGTGAGCTAGGATTCCGTAAGCTAGATTCTGGGCGGCAGTTCAAAGTAAGCTGCCAGTACAATATTTCATGGTTTGTTCAAAAAACTGTGAATTTTTAACAAGCATTTCAACACTGTTGCTGCTGCCTTCAGAGCCTAGGAACCGAGAGTTGCGCTTACAAAAAGGCTGCCAAATTCAACAGCCGTACGCCGGGTGATAGCTCAAAACTCCGAAGAGTCACTGCGTCATACTTGTATGCTTCCTGCATTGGTCATTTCGAGTGCTACTTTCATTTGCGAGATTTTATTCGCCTCTTTGGGGTTCAGGTTGCGCGGAGCGTAGTTTTTTCCCTCAGGGGCGAACATTTCGACTGCTGCTTCTTGCAGCTCGTTCATTACCGCCTTTTGAACGATAAGGCTTACTGTTGCTTTAAGATTTAAGGCAAACTTGCGTTTATCTGTTTTCTTGGGCATTTTACGTGGTTCGCTCAACAAGGCGTTTCTGTATTGCATTGTGTCGGATGGCAGCGCCAAAAATTATTTCTTTCGGAGGAATTTCCAGGGTGCTCTTTTTCTCAGAGGACTGGAACTTGAGTTGGGGACGTTTATGTGGTGTGTTTCAATGCGGCCGCATGTTTTCTCTTGAGTTGCTTACGATTAGCGCGGCGATCTGGGTGTACGAAGGATTTTCCGGTCTCTTTTTGCCGGCTCCGCAGCTTTGGCTATCGAGGTTGTGGGCCGACAGGCTTTTACTAAGCAGGAAGCCACTCGTTTTTCGGGAAGGCTGATCACAAGAATAAATTTTTTCACACGAAGAGTGTCGTTTGACTGTATGCATGCTTACATCAAATGGAACCATTTCCTGCATTAGTTTTTTTGAGCTTCGTTTTACTTGACCTCACCTCCTTTCTAATCATTGAGAGCGCATTTAAGTTTTTAATTTTCCCTGCTATGGTTGGCGCTCAGTATTCGCACAATGGAATTGAATTTTCGAAATTTATGACGTGTCCCTGATTGACTAAAGCAATCGGGCAACTGAGATGAGAGTACCACACCAAACGTTTAAGCCTCATTTAGGCATCCCGGGGTCTCAGGGATGCTGGAAAATCATCCCACGGGATACTTCAGCCAGAGGCATGGTTGTCTCGGTGAATAATGAAATTTGGTGAGCTGAAAAAGTATGAAACTAGATTACGACAGTTTTCGGCTTGAGCACATGCGCAATAAAATACAACATTTCGGCGTAGAAAGTTTTACTTCATGTATAGAGCATTGTCCGGATAATGTGCACCGCCATGGTTTTCGCTTCTGACACTTCACGACATTTGAGAAGCCGTCAGATGAACGCATGAATTGTGACTACGGACTATTCGTGCGTGCGGCATGTAGCAGAAGCACTAACGCTTTTTGCGTTATGAGTGGATATACTACCAATGCAACCGGAGGCCATCGAAACCATTGGACATTAGAGGAATCTGAGGAAGCTATTAATTTGAGCGCATTTTCTAATTGCAAGCAGTACACGCCTCACCAGCCGTCGGGTTCATTTTTATTGAAGGAGATACAGAAAACATTTATCTGGAACAAAGTCACAAGGTGGCAGGTTTTTGTACGGTCAGTTAACCAAAGATGAGTTGGGCGCCTGCAGTACCCTGCTAAACTGTTGGACGCTGTAGTGTGAAGTGCCACAATTTTTGGCCGATCAATTTGTCAGGGTACTTACAACACAGGATATATGCAAGTGCCGCTGAAAGTGTCGGCAACATCAGTCGGGCAGGTGACACATAGCTCCCTGTTACTGTGGGTGATTACATGCCTTTGGTGTAGTTCAGGCATCGTGAGACCGGAGGTGTGCTAGTGCTGCAGTAGGGAGAAAGTAAATATGGCCACATGCTTCTATCGATGGTAGCAGATAGCGCTGTCCCGACGCTCCGCGGATGATGCAAATGAGTTTACGATTAAGCGTTTGCGTAAGTTTTTCAAATCACTTAATAACTGGTCTGTCGATACAAGCTGTACACTTCTTGCTCGCGAGTGGCATGGGTGACGGACGTCCTGTTATGATCTCGCAGAAAGCGAACAATATGCTCCCACTTGTAAACTGTCCGGCTTGTTCAGTGAAACAATGGACTGACATCATCAAGTGAAGATTTTGTGATGGACAAACTAGCAGTACAAATGAGCGCAGAGATTGTGGTGTTCGGCTGCGATAGCATGGTGTTTTACTTTCATATTGGAAAAGCCATCAGGGAAAAATGTAGCATGTAACATCGACGTTATTATGGCCACAGAATTACTTCCAATAGCCAGCACGGATTCCACTAGATGGCTCGCCAGAATCCTAGTAATCAGATTCCGACAGGATCTGCGGCTGCTGCGCCGCATGGACCCACGATTTATTTATTACCTCACGGCCCACTGGTTTCACATTCCCCACATAATTTGGTTTACCGTCACAGATATGCCTTCTGCACTGACCGAACATCGGGAGGCCGGATGCGCGCTTGTGCTGCGGTAAGGGGAAGGCCAATTTAGCCAAATATTATTTTCCAAGCGGCAACAGATTGTATGTTCCAAGCTATACAGGTACCTCATCATGAATTGTGTGGGTACGTGGCATTCATATTATGCACTAGGATCACAATGTCACAATCAGCTCATATAATTCTCGATAGAATGTGTTCCTCTCACCCTTAGAACCGCAGACCTTTGGGCGATACTAGAAACGGGTATCATTCTTAAGAAGCATCCAGCTTGATTGAGCTGGTGAAACGGGCGGCGCAAAGATGAATGTTCAATAAGCTCTAATCCAAAGCGCGTTAAGCTCTGGGGCTAAAAGCAACTCCAAACAGTTATCACTTCTGTATCACCGGACATACGCACGTTAACCTGTGAAAGAGCCTAGGTACACAACCGGGCTTTGGTATCTGAGGTACAAGGGAAACATTATTTTTAGGAGTGCTCAATTTCTCATCGCTGCCTGTTTGTCAGTATGGTCCGGAGCACAGACATTGAATCCGCATTGTAGCGAAAATCTCACGGATTTAGCTCCGTGTTACTTTGTTAGTTGTTAGTGGATAGCAGGGCGAAGGAGGCACATTAGTCAGGGAAATGACAGTTAAATGACCAGCACTTTTTTTTGCGTGGTGAGGAGCGTTTGGGGAGGGACATCGATGGAGAAGAATTATGTGGACAAATGGTACTTCTCGGTCGCCCAGGCTGAGGACTGGGCTTAGTTGAGGTACCATAGCTTGAGCTTTTGAGTCAAAATTCTGGCCCGCAAGGCGGTGAGGAAATACAGGGTTTTATTTGGGGAACGTGATTCTGCCCCGTGGCTAAAAGGTTTGACTCACGAGCGTAAGGGTATTCTTTGGGACCCTGCCCTGGGGGCGATGACTCAATAGTCTGACATGCTTGGTCGAACGGAGCTTGCTCAGACTTGGGACGCAGGAAGCATGGCGGTACTGTCTCACTTTTGATGCGGTCATGCACAACACTCACCTTTTGAGAAGCAGCACTCTTCGATTTCATAAACATTTCGATCGTGTTGAATAATGCGCCGGAAGTCATGTTCAACCGGGTTTTAGAGCAAACTTTCTCTACCCAATTCCTCATGGGAAGGCAGTATTATCGTTTCAATGAGTGTGGACATGCTCATCGCCCAGGATAATCAAATTATTGTCCTCATGTTCCTATCACAGAGGACAGTGCGACCTTACACATAGACCGCATCGTCTTAACACCACTTGAATCTCGCTATTCTCGGTCTTGCAGCTCCCCTGTGGCATTCCAGGTATGGTCACATCTTTTTGAATTAAATTCCACAAGATGTAGACTGCGGGATCCTTGCAGCACCCAGGGCAGCCACCATGTCGGGTGGTAGCTCTAGGTCAGCACCCATTGTTAGATCCCGGGGGGGACAACGGTGTCTGAATGTGCATTGCGGCATTATGCGGAACTCCACAGGGCCCGGTGATACGGTCCCTACTGTGTGCCACTCTCGGGGATATTCGAGTTCCGAGATTGCTGCCACTACCAGTAACATCTTGGTTTTCTGCGTTGCGTCAACTGGAAGGACGTTTTCATAAACATTTGCGAGTACCCATATATGGTAGCCCAGAGTTTTGACTGACCGCTGATGGGACACAACTCCAAACGACCATGCATGCAAAAAGAGCACACACCACACTGATCAGATAGCGATATCCTCTCAGCTGAAATCTAGGTGTGCCGTGACCATCTTCTCACGTTATGAGCTATAGGAAATCGTAATATCCTTTAGAAGATCGTTTACTCCTTACAGATGCAGCACACATTGTGGGCACATCTTGAAAATTACTCCGCAAATCGGTCACGTCGACCACAGACGATATTTCTTCGGCCCCTACACACCGTTCGTGGAGCACTTCACTCTGACACAATCTCAGCACCTAAGGAAGGGACATAGAAAGGAAATCTGGGCAACCCGAAGAACACATGTATAATCATTACAAACTGCTCGCCTACAAACCTGATAAACCATGCGCGAAAGGGGAGGCAGAAGCACAAGCAGTCGTTCACCTGTCTGATGATTCAACAAACTCAATTTCAGTTGGAACTCCTGGTCGAATCTTTAAATTCCCATTTACTACAAAAATTGAATCGTGCAAACTAGAGAACGCAGCGGAGGCTGATCCGCTATGCATTTCGTGGATACCGTTGGCAATTGAGAGCTTGAAGCACTAAGTTTGGCATGATAACGAGGCAAGAGGATTTACTTAGAGGCCCTCAGACTTTATGTCCACTTTGGTTTCATGCAGATTTATTGATAAAGTCCTCATTGGATTTAGGGACACCACATCGAACGGTACGAAGGAAATTTAAAGCAGTCCGACAAAGTGACTAACGCCTGCCAAAGTGATCGATGCATCCAATAAGTTTTCAAACCGTTATTCATTCGTATTTATTCGCATGAGAGGAATAATTCAGGCTTTCAAAGCCATGGTGAGATACAATATTTTGACGCTGAACTGTGAAGCTGGACAACTTCATACAGATCCCATGATTGGACGACCACCTTAGGGCTTGTTTCTATGGTAAATTATCAGATGAAAAGTAAAGCGACGTCTTCTTTGCATGTTCTTACCGGACATGGGTGACGCTTGGGGTTCTGCCTGTTCAATAGTTAGCCTAAAGGCGGCTGTCTCCTGTGGGGGCTACAATAATTTCCAGGACCTACTGTCTACGACTTACGATCATGCGCTTGACCCACCGAATTTAGTTCCATCGACAGAGCCCATAGACGATACGTATTCCCACACGATTAGCATCGGTCTCATTGCTCGTATTAGGATCTTAAACTCTTGTGAAATTCTACGACGCCGCCCAAGACACGGTGATGAAAAAGTCGACAAATTTACCAACACACGTCGGAGACACTAAACGCCAACAGTGAACGATAAGTCATGGAATATTCTTGCAACTTCGTTTGACATCGTCGCCAGATAATTCAACACTGGAAATCCTAAGCTGTTTCTGGGAGGCATGGTGTCTTTAATTGGACCAAGGTGACATTTTCCTACGCGAAGTATTTTCGCATCTTCGTATAAAATATAATTTTGCACGTGCCCGAAGTTTTATCTCAGTCGACCGAGCGGTTTGCATCTCGAACAATCGAAGTAAGGCCTTGGGGAATAGGCTATGAAAGACACCAAACCATCGTTAGGACCGTTCGCTGATTCGTCAAACCTTAGCTGCAGCCTATTCGCCATGACGAAGCCCCTGTACGACCATCTCCGACTTGCATAAGCGATCGTATCGACTGGTTTGTAAGAGGACTCACTAACCTACAATCTAATGTGGTGCCGAATACATGGGATGATAATATTTATTCTTGTTTTGAAGGTGGAGAGTAATCCCATTTGGTTTGGTGTATCAACGACCATTAAGATTTTCCGACAGACCAGATTTATAGGAGCATTCAACTGGGCTGTTTTCGGGAATCACTGCACAGTTGAATGTCTCAGTTTTGTTAGTACGGACCGGTCTGCTTTCGGTACTTCGAAACCAACCTTAGCGTTCTCGGCCTAGCAGGCTCCTCGGACAAGTTTGAGGTCAGAATATGACTGAGTGGGGAGCGGATTCACTCTTAACGCATAAATATTAGGATCCGAAAGACAAGTTTTGATGGTAGATATCGATAAACAGAAGCGCTACCACACGACATCTAATTTCAGCTTAGGCGTTTGAATTCGAGTCTGAGTCATTTAAAGCAGTTCGAAGAACTTGAAACGTGCGCAAATAATCATTCATTCGGTTTATTTTGTCTGAATAACTTGCTGCATTATCAACCTGGTCTAATTGACCAGTTGGTAAACTCCTCAAAATTCCAGCTATATGGAAAGGACAACTCACAGTGTTATCTCGATTCTCCCATTGAGAACCTTGTTGAGCAGTTGAGCTACCTATATACACTGAAAGCGCTGATAGGGTAGATCGACTACCCTCGGAACACTGCACAACGATGACCATTTTGAACGTCATAAAAATAAACTTGAGGCTGATCTGCACGAAAAAAAGACTGGTAAAGAGGCTGTTCAGACTACTAGCCGCGAGGTAATGACTTCGAAACTCCCCGATTTTCATGACGTACACACTACTTGCACATGCCTGAATAGGCCAGCACGTTCGTCCCATCTGATATGAACTGAACAGAATAATCGCGTAAGGATGGCGGGTGAGATATAAATCCTACAAACCCCGCAGCTACTCAAAAGTCCATTGCAAGTTGTCGTTCTGAGATACAAAAATGGAGGCTCATAATTCCCTCCATTTTTCTACATACGAATACTGATTTGGTCCGATTCGTCGAAGGATTCTACAGGTCATTTTCGACCCGTATTAGGAAATATCTCACGAGAATTCCAGCCTTTACTGGAAGAAAAAAACTAGATGTACCGTCTAAACAAACCAGATGGAACCTACAGAATGCGGGTCATGATAGAGCAGATTATTAAGTCTGTTGACAGATGGTCACTGGGATAGGCTGACAAATACGGCGATCAGCTAGAAACTGTCTCAGAAATCCCATTCAGTGGAAGAACAAGGCATGTCCATGGTAAATCGGACATACTCAATCTGAATAAACAGTGTCATTTTTCAACCATGGGACTGTCACCAATCCTACTGAAACCAATAGGAACAGCTGGTAGCAGACGAAGATACTTCCAAGTTTCTGCCCGACTGATTTCCGAGCGAATTGGGGAAAGGCTTGGAAAGCAAGCATGCTGCACGAAAGCACTTAGAGTGCATCAACCACAACAAATCCTCAGACACCAATAAACTAAAGGTACCATGTCCGAGACATGGACAAATCTGACTGAAAGTCCAGTAAGACCTAAAAGTCCTCACTCCTGGAACGTCCAAATGAAGACCGATCCGTGTTAGACAGAGTAGAGCACAAATGGTTAGGCTGTGAGTCATATGACACAACTTTCCACACGATATGGCAAAAGTCACAGTACCACAGGAAGTTATTTGTCCGGTGAGTATCAACACAAATGCACGTAGCAAAATCTGATGAAAGGTCAATGTTAGGTGTGCAGCAAAGTGTTCCGTATTCAGTCGGCCTGGTTTCGGGGTACGGCTGAATGAACGAAGCCAATGAATTTCAACGGCCATACAGCCGAGAAAAAAGGATAATGAATGGTGACAGACGAGACCAATTGAAAGACTTCACGTGGCACCAAATTCAGCCATCCACTTCTCATAGCGCTCGACATCAGAGGCAGAAACTGATTTGCAGACGCGACTGATAGCTTCTTGCAGATCGGCCATTGTGGTAGGTTGGTTGAGAGTGGCTGTATTCAAACCTTTGATCTCTTCAACGGACAAGCCCTCGATCGCGCGGCGCATTGACATCATAGAAGCATCCCTGAGCAGATAAGAGGTGGGTCGGGTACGGAGAAGAGGTGGTGCAAAAATGATGAAAAAGCTGGAAAAGCCTTCCGGTTGCTGTCGGTCGCTCAATAGGAACAACGGAAAAGTAGGATGTAACCGAACACAGGCAATGCGGTTTTGTTCCGCATCACCCTACAGCGAAAACCTATGAAAAACCCCTATAAAAGGTACACAAAAATGCCACTTTTAAACTTTACGATCGGAAGCTAACTGAGAATAGACTAGAAAACTGTTAACCAATTTTAATACACTATTAAGATATCCAGGGCATGTTAGCCACGAAAAGTTGCGTAAAATTTTCGCTGTTGCTCTGCACGACGCACCGGGTTACAACCACGTAATAATTAGTGGTGCCCTAACCAGACCACAGAATTTCCAGTTCCCTTGTGTCTACCTCATACAATTTATGGTTGCCTTAGGAAACGAAAGACATCAACAGCGATGTTAAAGATAACGACACATCATTACTACCATTTTTTTCGTCATACGACAAAGTGATTTGTATAACGGCATGACGAAAGCGTCTACTGTAAAGACGTTTCTTTCAACAAAATTTCAACCACACTTGTCGGAGCTCGGAAAAGAAATTCGTTGGAGTCAAATAAGCTTACAACGAGAAGCACTGGGAAGATCACAAATCTTGATGGTGATTTGAAACGTACAGTTTTCGACCATCAGTGTATGTTCACGTACGTGAACGTTGATGACATTGCTGACCAGTCTGTGATATGATGAAACGAAACTTGAAAATCTCCTCACTATACGCGGAACACGAATGTGCTCAAAAAGACCATCTCTGCAATTTATGCGAGGACGACCTTCGAGGAGCCAGAAAAGATTGGGATACATGAGCTGAGTTTGCTGAAGGTTAATTGGCTCTAGACTCTGTCGAAGTTGGGTCACAGAGTCGAAAAGGAAATATCGCGCAAACAACACTCAAATCGCCTCGGAGATTGGGGAACGATGGCTGTTGATTTGTTCGCCGACGGAGGTAACAATGTTGCCGATTCCGAATGAAAATAAGATAGTTTTACCACGATTCTTACCTTGGGCTGACTACTGGGTTCTTCAGACCTCATCTATTAGACGCTACTGAGAAGGAGTGTCCCGGACAACTTTGAAAATCGGTAATAGTGCCCAAAACGAGTCCGTAGTGAATGGTGTAATGAACAAGGGGTCAGTTTGACTCATGGTAACGATCCACCTGGCGTCACCTAATGTTCGTCATCTTACGGTGGTCCGTAAATCACGGAATCGAGAGCATCAAGCAGGATTTCGGTCCGATTCAAGACGCACTGGACTCCATTAACCGGCCGATTCCTATCAACACGGTTGTTTTTTCAATACAAAAAGTTCCTTGCATTCGCAAGATTACGGGGGTGGGAGTATACGGAGGGCTCAATAAGAGTCGCTATACACAAAGTGTTGCCCGATAAAGATCCTCAGGCTCTCCAGGTGCATTTGGATGAACAGACCGAAGCCACCCTGCCATTCGGCATGCGCTTTGAACACACAACATCAAAGGTTATGCTCCTGGACGCGAAGTTACTCCTCACGATCTATGGAGAGGCAGTCGAAGTTGTGGGGCGTTCTATGTATCTGTGATGTGAAAAGTGAGGTTGATGCACGAATCTCCAAGGCTCGAGTTGCGTCAAAGTAGCATATCAGTGAATTTCAACGGATATGTGTATCAGGCTACAATACGGGCTAGTTTGCTGCGAAACTTGGCATCAGCAAGCAGCCGGACTGGGACGTTCTAAGGTCTCAATTATTGTGTTAGAACCATCGCTTGTGCAGGCTGATGCTAGCGATTCTGCAACGGGACAATTAGGAAACGAGTGTTTGCTTGTGCAACAAGCATTTCGGTGGAAGAACGCATCCAGAATAAAAAAACTGTGGTGCTTTGGTGGGATTGTCGTTTGCCGAAAAGTATGCTGTTTTCTGGGCTTGAATCAGAGTAGCGGAAGCAGAGAGGTGGCGAACCCTTGAGCTGGCAGAGGGGTATGAAAGAAATCACGAAATGTTTGGGTGCTATAGGTGCGATTCGCTTTTTAGGACGGGACTGCGTGATCCCCACTGTTGGAGACGCTACAAGATATGACTGGTAATCGATGTCGATGGTGTTCTCGTTGTCAGTTTCTATCCATATTGCCTGAATGAGTATCCGAAGGTGTAGGCGCCTCGCGATGATTGTGCTAGGATAGCACCAAGTCTCTTCTTTTGTTCCCAACAAGGATTTGAAATAAACCACGGTCGTATGGCAGCCGGGCATCGTGTTGGATACTGGTGAGGCGTTTATGGTGAAAGCTGAGTCAGCTTGGCTTTTGCCAACGTGTAACTTTTTGTATGCGACTTGTTCATGTTTTGAAATAAACCAAACGACGTCCAACTGCCTTATTTCTCTGACGGTTATGTGAAACAATCTAGTCCAGCCGAAGTTGTTTCTTACAGTGAAGTTTGTTGAGAATGTTAGTTTGCGAAGGTTTGTCCCCATCCAACTGTACAATTGTATTTAGTATATAATCTGGGTTGCACAATTCGTGAAACTTAATCCCAGTTTTGTCTAACTACTTTCCCCGTCGGTTAGTTTTTTTACAGGAGCAATACATCACCTTCCTTCTGGAGTTTCTAAATACGGAGGGTTTTTCCGTTAGGTGATTCAACAGAGTCCTGAAAGATGAGTTGGACGATATCAACTACAATCGTTTCTGTCATTTGTAACCCGTTCATATGATCGTAAAATTGTAGACATCCGTCAAGTACTACATAATGAAAAACTGACTACTGACCCAGTCGCCTTTAGAAGAATAAGATCATCCTAAAATGAAGGAGGATAGGCAAATTCTGGTGGTTTGGACGAGTTCCCGTCACGAAAGCCGCCCACACTTTGATCCATCCGAAAGCGCTATTCAGAAGAAACTCACTAGATCATTTTAGTACGTGGCGCGAAAGCTTGTAGCTCATCAGAGAATGACGCACGTGGTATCCAAGGTAACCGGCCCTACACCAGACTGGTCCTGCAGGCATGAGCCCTCACGGAACTTTGGTCCAAATTATGGCTAAAATCTTCGAACAGATAATGCCCTGTCACGCTTCTTTGACCTCTGAAACTGAGGGGCAGTTCGGTCCCACAAACGATAGGCTTATCCATTCCATTAGTTACAAGTGTGGTGAATTTACGGCACTAGGCTACTGACAAGTTTGGAGGGTTTGGAAGATGGACAACCACAAATACGGTTTTTACGGTCGGATCCGATGTGGACGGTACAGCACCCAAGGACTACAAAGCGATGTAGAAAAATAACTTCCCAAAAGAAGCGAAGAAACTGTCAGTTTCTTTCCGGATTGTCTGATTGAGCGGTTGAAGATGTAGACACATCAGAATGCTTGACACAGGCCAGTACTAGGTCCCCTCCCTCACCCACTCTTTTTCTCTTCTTTCCACTTTAGGGCTTTTAATATATATATATATATATATAACTAGACGAATCTTATGGTTGTACGGCAGTGAAGCATCAGTGTTGACACTGATGTTGCTGTCTTCGATGATGATCATGGAAGAAGCGATTGAAACAGACAGGAAAACTTCTGATGTCGGTTGAAAACGCTATAAGAGAAGGTACTGTGGGGCACAAATGCACAAAACCTTTGCAGCCTAGTTCCGTGACTTACCGACACACGTTAGTAATATCCGCACCAGAATATCCATCCAAACACTCGGCTACCTTATCCAGATCGACATCTTCGGCCAGCGGAACTTCTTTAAGACTAATGTCCAGCAATACACGACGACCAGTGACTAGAACGTGGGAAATAGATTAGGAATGGATAACTTTTGGTCACCGAAAAGTCTGGGGTAGCTCATAAATCATATCTTAGCTATTGATGTGTAACATCGGTTATCATTACCAAACTTGAAACCTGTCGGAGATAAAGCATACTGTCGGGATCGTGAAGGTTTGCGACAGTTTATCCAAACGTTCACTGTCTTGGGATATTAGTCGAGTATTCCCGTACGTTTCAATCTGGCGGATTTATTGTCGGATAACACGAGGCATTGCACCTGAGAAAAAATAAAAACCTCAACGGTCGGTCACAACCATTGACGTTTTCTGCAAAAATTAGCACATCTGTTCTTGTAGTGGCTTCTTGAAGATTGGAACACACAGTAAGGAGGCACACGCAAAGCAACTGTGGAAATATTTGGGGGCAGGATACAAAAATGCCTCAGAACGAATCAACTGTATCTCTATCGTAACCAGTCTCAAATTCAGTGCTGTTTTCACATCGTACACATGGTGACGACTAAGACCGATTGGATACACAAGTTCACTTTACTCTCGTGCTTCATCCAGATATAAAACTGTTAATTTTTGCGATGAAAGGAGTTTTTTCGACGGCCGATGGGCGAACCTACATTGCACGCAGACAAAAATATGCAACTGAGATGCGTCGCCATGTGATGCAGCCAAGGGATATTTCGCCAAGGCCGCACACCAACTGTATGTTTAAATACTTTTACAACTGAAACCACGAAGGTTCGATAAGCAATTAAGAGACGACTGGGTGGGGCCCAAAACTTCGTTCCGGTGGACGAGCAAAATGAGCGCAAGTGCCTCTGAAACATAAAAAGGGTCACCTCACTTGAACGTTTGACCAACAAGTGGAAGTCTTGTTTGTACGTGCAATGTTGAATTAGTCCACAAAAGTCAACCCACTGTGACATCGACTCCTCGAACAGTGCCGCCTCTCCATCGCCCCACGAAAACACTACCTTGTCCGACTTCTAGTCTGACGTCTAAGGGATTTGCACATCGAACAGGAATGTTTCTACCAACCACACAAGCATCCCATTGCCCCGTAAGTAAAAACATCCGAGTGAACAGTAAAAAAAGACAGGTCCCGTCGGATGCACAAGCATATTGATCTAACCTGGCCACCGGATTCTCCAAACGGAATTATTGGGTAGAACTGTAGGTTTCAAGTATCAATTGTACTTATCTCAAAGCCATATGGAATTACATGGGGATGTCAATCGAAGAAAAACTGAACGGTCCCTAGTAAAAGACGCTCAAATTTGAGGACAAAATCGTGAGGAGATAGATGGAACAGCCAACGGTTGCCGTCGTCAGCATAAGAGGTGCCGACGGGAACAAGAGGAAGCTTCAAGGAACCGATCTAACTGAGGTAACCTTAATCTCTTTACATATAAAAAGCAAGGACACGCTGTTACTTCCTTCTTGTGTCAATTCAAGCACATTTCCTTCAGGTCTGTGAACTATATAAATGTGTGCTCTATAAGGGGGAAGCCACACAGAGGTATCTGAATCTGGGTTGTCTGATTGGATGATCTGGCGTTTGAGTGCACAGCCATGATACTCACAACAATACTCTCATGCCACACTGGCCGTCACGTGGAGTATGCAGCTGGGTCCCCTTGCTTGCTGCATGGCGGATAAGCGAAAACATGCGACTGCTGACGCCTCCCTTCTTAAACTTCTAAGTTCATAAGTATCTCCGCAAGTCCAAGTACAAGAACTGACCGCATTGTTCAACGTGCACCCCACTTAGTTAGGGGTTCTATCCGTCTGACTTCAGTAACAACCTCAAACATTTCAAATTCCATGCGACTGCGCCTCCCTTCTTAAACTTCTAAGTTCATAAGTATCTCCGCAAGTCCAAGTACAAGAACTGACCGCATTGTTCAACGTGCACCCCACTTAGTTAGGGGTTCTATCCGTCTGACTTCAGTAACAACCTCAAACATTTCAAATTCTGTTTTCAAACATCGAAAGCTGGACTACTTAGCTCCCTTTAATGTTTGCACATTAAAGCAAGCAGGACAACAAGTGGCTATTGTTCGTACGCTGAATTCCATCTAGATCAAAGTATGCTGCTTGTCAGCTTTCATTGTGCCTTTCAGGTATAGGCGCACTTCGCTTAGCCATTGAGAAGCTAGTGGACCCAGAAATAGATGAAACTATCAGAACCGGCTCCTTGAACGCCCGCCACATGGTTCTACAACGGATATAAAAGGTCACTGGGAACAAATATCCAGAGCGCTACTCAAAGTCATAGTTTCCGCTTGCGTTACAACCCAGTCCACATCATCCAAACATTGGATCTCTGATAGGATCGTGGCTTTGTTGGAGGCCGGGTGACCAATTCCTTTTGGCCGCAACCACAACTCAACCCGACGCCAAATAAAATCGAGTGACCATTCAAACCGCGAAGTTTGGTAGACCTGAAAGGCCGAAGAAATGAAAGATGTGAAAAGTGATGGCCGTTCCACTTGATTCGTTTGACTGGTTCTAAGAAACCTCTTGACAACGGAATTATCAGACAGCAGAATAGCTTTCTGATATCCAGCAAAGTAGAACGTTTGGATCATTGGATACAATACTTCAAATAACGATTCAATCGGCTACCTGCTACCTCAAATCCGGAATGCAGGCCTTCAACAGAAAGGTGGACTGTGGGCACGGAACCCCCTTCAGCTTCAGCAGTGTCCGAAACAAGCATATCGTGCTCCTGGACCTGACGACCTTATATCTGCTCCATTCAAAGATGGCGGTGAATTCCTCAGCCAGTACCTATCTAGCCTATTTGGGTCTATCTAAACAAAAGACGGTCCCAGAAAACAGGGGTAAGTTGATAATAGTGTCCATTTTCAAAAATGTACTCGCAATGAATGAAGGGAGCACAGAGGCATCAAACTGATTCACGTTGAACGAGGCTTCTGGGGTCACAGTGTCCATCGTCTTAAAGCGGCATGCGAAAACTCGATCCGCGACCATCAAGCGGGATTTCTACCGGGGCAGAGGTTGCATAAACCACATTTTCACACTCCGTCAGATGTTAGAAATGCCACATACATAGGCGGCCCATAATCTTAGGGTTCCTTGATTTCAAGGGTGTGTTCGATTCTGCCGATAGGTCAGTGCTGCTAACCACACTTACTCAAGAGGGAATGCCCCAGAAGTTTGTGAACCTGCTCCGGTCCCAATATTCACATGCTTCAGAAAGTGCAGTCTCTGAACATACCCCTTACCATTCAAGGAGAATTTTACACACCTTGTTAGTCGTATTAGCTCTCATGGAAGTGATCCTGATGAGGTCAGTGCACGGATCACAAAAGCTAGAATCATCTTTGCCGATTTCGCGTCACCTGTGACGTCGAAAAAGCAAACAACTGGGTCTCAAGGATCGCTCGCGTGTACCAAGCTATAGTAAGGGTTGTATTGTTGTATGGTTGCAAGACAGTCTCTGCGGGAAACATTCAACACTATCAACTGCGTTGGCTGGGCTGTGTGCTACGCATGTCAAGACACCGTCTACCGAAACGAGTGTTGTTCTCCGTCCCAACTTCCGAATGGCGCAAGTCACGAGATAGACACTGCCTGGAGACATTGCAAGAGAGGGCGTATGGTCGATGTCAGTAGCGTTCATATTGTTGGTTTCTTTTCAGATTGTTTGATTGAGCACTTGCAGGTGTAGGAAACTCAGAGTGCTTGCGGTAGACCGGCATCAGGTTCTCTCCCTCACTCAATCTTCATATCATCCTAAGGCTTAAAATAATGAGTTAGACTTTGGGGTTGTACGGCAGTGAAGCATCAGTGTCAACTTTGATGTTGCCTTGTCTGATGATGCTGACATGTACGACGTACTACCGACCTAAACGACGGAGCCCTTCCTCCTTGTGTTTCTCTTCTCGGTTGCACTGTGTACTACGATTCCCATTCAGTCTCACGACTAACAAGTATGAGCAGTCTTCGTCAAAGTCACGGATACATCGTCATCATGAAGAGTTTCATTATTGTTTTATTAATTCACGTTGTAACTTTCAATACAACCTCTCATGAAATGCCTATACTCAGATCGATCTGCACACACCACACAGTTAAGGGCGGACGGTCCATGCCAAACTATATTAGCTCACTTAACTGGTAGCACGGTTCAACTGCAAAACACTACCGATCGTTTGAACGAAATGGTAAGTGTGATCGTTGGATTTCTTCTGCCGTTGTAGTGTTGTGCGGAGAGATATTCAACTTCCGCGGGTGGCACATGGGCGGCTCTGTATGACAGTGAGTGGCCTGCTGTAGAAACGCATTGTGACACGAAAATGGCGCAATTCCTAATGGGTCGAAGAGCTGATGTCTTCAGGGGGACGAGAGTGGATGTTGTCGGGACAGCATTTTGTGTGAATTGATTATACACTCGATCAACTACCAAGGTCACATGGACAAACAGATTGTTGGACTCGAGAAATACACTCATTTGCAAATCGATTTGGTTTTCACGGGATACTCAATTGAATCTCTCGTTTATGATGTCCTTTATGAAAATATACTGCGATATCTCGAATATCGTGCCAACTGAATCATGAGGCGGCCTGTGTGTAGCACATTCAGTTGGAGGACATCATAAACGAGAGATTCAACTGAGTCTTCCGTGAAAACCAAATTGATTTGCAAATGAGTGTATTTCTCTAAAACAGTGCAATTCGGGTTCAAGTAGATCATAAGGTTGACGGAAACTCGGGGACTGCGCCTTCCTGATGAGCCCCAAGAAGGGCGAAACCGGTCGTGGGCTGTCGAAGAGTTTTCAGCAGCCTTGTGAATAGTTTCCTTTATGAAAAGATCGTTGGACTGTTCAAAAGCTGAAAACACGATGAAAAAGCACGGCATCGCTCCTATTTCGACTATTTGGATAGAAATAGGATTGAACTGCAGTAAATCACCTAAATTTTCACAGAAACATCACGACAAGTCAGGCGCAATGAGTCACAGTTTCAGGCAGTGATCATAAATTGTTATCTTTGGTGGTTAGGAGCAGTCCTAATGAAGGTACTGTTCTAAGTGAATATAGCTGATAGGATGAAAGACATTTGATACCGAGATCCATTGTCAGTTAGAATCCATATTCTGCAGTTGCGTGGGGTGAGTCAGCCACTTGGTTGAGAGATGAGATAATCCACAGCAAATGCTGTGGAATGGTTGGTTAGTGCTTACCAGTGGCCTTGGGACGGTAAACAGGCGCCGACAAATAAGTTTATGTCACAAAAATCCTCGTTGTGTGAGCGACCCACTCGTTGAAGACCACACACACACACACCGACAAGGTGACAGAAACAACTTACTGTGTATAGCCATTGTTGCTACCACCGGCTATTTCTTTTCCTCACCAACTTGAGTCAAAATCAACAGCTTTGATAACGGAAACCTGAATTATACCCCGGTCGACTGAAAACTTAACTCGTTCACTGAGGCTATCGACTTCGTAAGCCGAAGTGGTTAGAGCGCGGATTACTAACCTGAAGGTCCGCGGTTCGAATCCGACCTCCGCCACTCGACTTCCCCTGTCTAGGCTTGGGCAACCTGGCAGTATCCCAGCCCTCGTGCTTCCTTCGGGTGGCATGGCAGCTAGGCACCGGAAGGGTGCTACAGCTGAACGCTTTATCTTTATCTTTTACCCTCCCACGCAGTGGCTTCGAGCCCGAGTCTTGTACATTTTCCATACCTTGATTTGGATGGGCTTACGTCGTAACGAGATGAATTCAAAGTCCTGCATTTTGGTCTTTAGATTCCACTGACCACCGTATATGAGTAGGCTGGCGATGTGCCAAAATATTCGTAGCTCGGGTGCGTTTTATTAACAGTTGATCAGCTGACCGTGATATATTTGTCGAGACTGGGAATTAATTTACGAACGTTTCGCCATCAGTATCTAACCAACTGCGCACTCATGATGTCTCCTCAGTTGGCGACAAGACGTTTGCAAGTACGGCGAACAGATCAACAACCAATAGGCAAGTAGGTCCTGCTTCACAAGGCCATAATGGCTCAACCGACTGCAACTATTCTCATTACAACCGCCCATCATCTGCCATATGTAGTTGCGAATTCTCACATCCCTCCGCTTAACCTATTTTCTGGCGCAATAGTGCCAGCGAAGTATAATCAACTAGAACTTCAAACCCAGACTGCTATTCCGTCCCACGGGTGCTTTCCATGAGAGTCAACGATTCCAACACTACCAGCTTCCTTGATATTTGCTTTGCGGACTGAAATGAGTCCAAAGCGTTGTCCAGAAACCACAAATGACGTTGTTCTCACCCTGTGCATGTACCTCTACATGTAATTTAGGAAAAATACGCGAGTTGAAGCCATCACTAGACAAGTTTATCGGACAAAACTGTTGACCGTACATTCAGCACTAAACATCACGCTATCTCACCGTCATTTATCAATCTCACGAGTTTCTCTAACCGCTGTTTCCCTCGGCACAGACTTCCAAATTCGGTTTACACATACACCTGATACCACATTCACCAACACCTACCTCCTCTATCTCTATCTAAATTTCGTACCAATGCAATACACTTTCCGTGCATGTACTAAGATAGGTAAAAGGGACATTACCAATAATGCAGTTTGACTGAGGTTGACAACCGCCACGCCTTATAAACATACGTGTGCAAACAACACAGCAACATAAGCACTAACCACTAGGAAGAGGTATGTAAACGCGCTTCTCCAATCGTCTTCTGAGAGCCTCATCGATGTCCCAGGGAAAGTTGGTCGCAGCCAAAACCATAACCGTCTTGGTTGGATCTTCCTGTTGTCCAGTGGCTCCGGTGACACCTGAAACAAAGAGCTAGGTGTTGAGGCTAGGCAAGCTACCATAAAACAGATGGCGGTAGCAACGTCACGGCTAGAATGATGAGCAGCGTTGGAGAAAGACGTTTGCTCTGGAAGTATGAAGAGAATAACAAACCAAAGGCTCGTGGTTGAACGGCTAAGTTTGAAACTACTAGTTAGGAGGTTACGGGTTCGAGTCTCTCTGGATTTTCGCGAGATACGCACTAATGATGATTCCAAACAAGGATGAAACAGATGTACAGTGCCTCTCGGTTTTCCAACACAGACAGAATGCACTTACAAGACGAAATCTCCACAAAAACCGTACGGGCTATTGAACTTTTTACCACGCAGACATGGTCAACACACAGAGGCCCGTACGAGTGGCTTTTGAAAGACCCACTCGTAGGTAAAAAAGTAATATGCTTCTAGCTGACCTGATACAACATACATGGCTGCTAACTTGTGTTAGGGCTTCAATTCGAGCCCCACTATTACGTTTTGGTTGAGGGAAAAGTTACCACAGTATGCCACCAGCTTTTGTGTGTACTCATTTGTACGCTCGTGCCGAGAAACATACGCTGGTCGTACGACAAAGCATTTGTCGGACAGAATGAGTGAACACATTTCTGTGTCTCTGATTGGTAGTTGAAAAAATAGACTCAAGTACGAATGCATCACATTTGGTCGAAACCATTCATGTCATCCACAAACAATAAGCCTTCGACATCATATACCGCGCACTTCTGGTACAATCCAGACTATTATCAATCTCAGAGGCGATTGGAATCTGACTATTGGACACACAACTTGGCGTCTGAAAGAAACTTGTGTGACCTTTGAACTTGAAATGGCCTGCTAAAAATCAGGCCCACAAGCCTGTCTGACATTGATGTCACTTATTTAATTCCGTGACCTATTGACCTATCCTTCCTTTGAATTCTGTTTCACTAACGTGTATATATCTCCGATTTTATCTTTTTCACTTGATTTCTGGTAACAAATAAATTTGTGATGTAGTCCTGATGTAGTCAATCACAAAAAATAAGATGTGTTCGCGACCTTCGTTCTTCCGCAATTGTGTTTACACCTAGCGGAACAGAAACGAAGGCAGCCTGACATGTAACGAGGCAGACGGATTTACAAGATTTACTGAAGGAGGACGTTCATGATACCTGTGATAACACAACCAACGGTGGATTGTGCGGGGCATGAGACCTGATGTGAACGTCACTTTTCGTCATTTCACATTTCGCGTTTGCAAACCTGAGACCAGTGTCATGCGAGTACGGATTCGACTATCAGCACGTGCACACCAAATGCAATCCATCACATTGGTAATCGATTTGTGATTACCACCGACCTCAGCGAATATGCCAACAACGAACGAATCCAAACGAACTGTTCCACATTTCCAAGAAAACACTGCCCTCATACCCTTGTAGAAATTCCCTAATAAGCCCATAAAGGTGCAAAGAGTATTGTACTGCCAACATAAACACGCTGACCACACACCTGCCACCAGTAATAGAAAACAATACGTTCAGTGGGGCTACGGGCAGGGTAGTAAACGGGGATTAACGCGAACTGTTTATTACTTGGCGTTTCCAACTTTGGCGCTTGGAATCCCCCGTAGGAGGGGATTTTGCTGGTTGAGCACGACTGCTTTAGTCCATCATTACCACTACTCGCAGCAATACGAGGGACTAACAATGGTGATTCATTGCCCTACGGCCAAATCAATTTGTTTGAATGAAGCTCAACAATGGAAGATAAATTGGAGGGGAACCCAAGATCGGCCACGTCTCCAAAGTTAGTTGGAAAATTTGGGAAGGGCTGATAGCAGAAACACTAGTGCCAAATTTGCCGTCATATCGTTCAGTATTTCCATTGAAGCACAATGAGGGTGACATGAGCTACATCCCGAAAAGCGGACAGAAAATCGGCTGTTAGTTCATTCGCTGAACCGGGCAAGTTGATTGCAAACGTTTCATCACCAAGCAAGGTGACAACCATCATCGATGCGTTTTTAAGGAGCGGAGTAGTGAAGTTGATTGCAACGTTTCATCACCAAGCAAGGTGACAACCATCATCGATGCGTTTTTAAGGAGCGGAGTAGTGCGTTTGTGTCCTTATACGTGTAGTTAGCCGGGGCTGAATTTCGGTCACGATCGGTTGTTCGGCCTTCTATCGTACGTGCTGATTGGTCGATGGTCACGTGACTTTTACCTTAACCCATGTTCCCGTCAACTGGTCAGTGTCCGGATGACCTCTGTCCTTAATCTATTTATGTTCCACCTTGTGACCTTTGCTAATGTGACACAAAGGAGCTTCCTGAACAGGAATACTCAGAGAGCCTACTATCGGATTAACAAACCGATGCTCAATGCACAACTACTGGTGCATCGCTAAGCTTTACTCGAGGCCCTTACAACGCACTGATGATGTCCCCTTGATTGGTTAAGAAACGTTTGCAATCACATTGCCCGGCTCAGCGAACAAACCAACGACCATCTAAACTACTTGAGCTACCACCACACCATTCAGGAACAAACCATCAAAACATTTGGCAACATCCTTCATTCTCTTTGCTATGTCATACCAGTCCACTCCTAGATTTCCGTCACTCCAATTGAGACACAGAAAACAACGCTGTCCTTGGCGTGCGTAACACATGGCTCAGCCACCTTAGATTGTAGCGCTGGAAGCATTCTTTGAGTGAAATATCGTCTACCTCATAAATGGCCCGTTGCCTGATCACCTCATTCTGAATGCGCTAGTTCCAGCTAAGTTCAACCACAGTTCTGAGACACTCATTGTCAAAGACCTGTAGACGTCTCGGATCTCCCGCCTGAAGCGGACAAGTTATGCAGCTGCATAGTAATACAACTCGCACTGTAGTCCCAAATACGCAAATTAACAAAAGCAATCATGGCCTATGAGATCCGTGCGTTGACTTCGTCTGTCACACTACCGTCAGAGCTAACGCAACTCTCGAGATATGTAAACTGCTTTTTACAACTTCCGGTGTCTGTATTTGAATTCTCGGAAGCATGTACTTTAAGTCTAGGTGCGGAGCATATGCCAGAGAATGGGATGACCCTGATAAGTTACTGTTGTTCAAAAATGATAACGGTATCGTTGGCGTATTTCAGATCCACAAGGCTCGCACAAAGGAAGAGATCTGAACACCGGGATTGCGGAGGTCCTTCAGAGTTCGCCTCACATTAAGAACGAAATTGAACAGAAATGGGGATTGGACATCCTTGTTGGACACCCATTCGTGGAGTCACGTGATTACATAGATCCATGTGAAAAAATGGCAACATTCCGTTGTCGCTCAGTGTTATGTTTCAGTACAAAGTACCCAGCCATTTCGAACAGTAAGTTTAATTTCAGACATATAGTCTATGTTTTCACAGATAGCTAGATGAGTTAAACGTCCGACCGAAGAAGCATACAATGAAATATCTTCCTTTACTACTTGGGAATGGGTTTCGGTGCTAACGGTTCATCGTCACTCATTACTGGCTCCAAGATCATCAGAAAAGTTAGAAAATTGCCCGCGTAAGGGAAAAAAACGAGATGACGACACTAATTAATATCATGAAAAGATTGCCGATGGACTCCCTATTTGCCATACGGATAATCTGTATTCGTAGTCGAGATATGGTAAAAAACTACATATGGGTAAATATCTACCCAGCGAAATACACGCATGCGCAAACTAATTTGGTTTTGCGAGGGACTTACCTGGAACCCAGGTGAATTTCTCGTTTTGGATGTTTCCAGGCAACTGAATGTGCTGCACCAGGCCGCCTCATGTTTCAGTTGCTACGATATTCGAGATATCGCGATACATGTAGTTTTGTAATGCACTACTCATAAGGTTGACAAACATCCACCTATTTTGCGCACGTCTTTTCAGGCCTTGTTGGTATTGTTGCATTTTCTACAATCTTGGCCCTCTTCGCCTAGTTTGCTGCTCTCAGAAGAAAAACAGTACAACACGAGGACGAAAGGTCCCACAAATGCCCGCATGCACATCACATCTAGCCGATACTTTCAGAAAAGCCCCCCCTGTCAAACACAGCGAAGTAGCACGGTAGCCATCTGAACCGTCTCGCACAGAACAGGCAAACCGACACGGTCAGCCAGTACTAATGGACGCACCTGAGGAAAACAAACCTTGGAAGTCCGGGCGTCCTGAAACAGGCTGATCCTGGTCCGTCAAATAGGGAATATCGAACAACTAAGCCCCCGTGCATCACAACACGGAGGACCCTGATACAAGTTTGACGATCAATCAGAATACGGCGCCCGACGGCAAGTGCACACCACACGCTGAAGCAGTGATTAGTACGTGGGTAGTAATGCCGCTCACCTATAGACAGGGGTGTTGAATTCACATTAGACTGATCGCAACAAACAACTGACCCGGTAACAGTTTTACTTTGACAACAGGCCTCTCTAAATCATTCTCGGTTGGAGTGAGCAAACTGTGTTTATGCAATCAGACCGGTTGTGCCTTGACTTGAGTCGAGAACAGTTGATCAGATCAAAACCCAATTTCCTGCAATTAACGTCTCCGTATCGGAGACGTGCTAAGATACGATTCCCTTTCTTTCAGTACATCGTCAGATGTCCATGTTAGCGAGGAAACATTCGTGTACGTGTGAAGCGTGGGATATTGTTCAGGAGTTTAAAACTACTACGTTATTGGTCTATTCTTATCCATGAAAGCCTAGTTTAATTTGACTGTAGTTGGAGTCCGTACCCTTGATCGCACGCTTCGGTATCACGTGGTCATGCGATGGGTCACGTGTGACAGGTGACTCTATCAGGCTTACAGGCTGGGTGACAGAAGTTGAATGTCACTTTGTTACAATCCGTGCTTCAGCTGGTCCAGGAACTGTGGATAAAACGATGCGGATATACGCGGATGTACAATGCTCCAGGTATCATCACAATGTACATGACAGATGTTGCACCTTCTACCCTGGCATCAAGTCTATTTAGGTACCAGCAGCAAGTAGGGTAAGAACTTTTTTACTTATAACCGTCCGGATTGTTCGCGTCTGTTTTATAGTCACTCCTTCCAACTCTTGAGTATGGCATCAAGTTCAAGAGAATCTGAAATAAATAAGCCAAATCAGAAGACGCGACTTGACCGTTGTAACATTTGTGAAAATACGGCTAGTGAATTCTACGTATCAACGGACTGAATTCCATTTGACTTGACACAAACTATCTAAAGACTGTCGAGTCGCGAACACACAGTGCCACTTACATTCGGTGTGAAGTAAATAACAAGCAAACAGGTACAGTTTTTTTTAATTTTACGGCATCGGGCTTCAGTAACCACGTGTATCTAGCACCTATCCGAATATCCGCTCATGAGAAGGCGAATATATGCCAGTCAACGACTTGTTAGGCGCCGGAATGGGTGATTTGGGCCCAATTCCGCCCCAACACCGGGATGGGTATACAGCAACCCCCTCAGCTTTAGCTCCTGAACAGAGGTTCCATAAAGAGATCACCACGTTCCCCAGCAAACTTTTTTAATGTATAAATGGGTTCTACTATTGCCAAAGTGAGAGCCCAGTAACAACTCTACCACTTGTTTTCAAAACTGTTCCGAAACTAGGGAGTGTGAATTTTGCTTGGCACGACAGCTGATTACCGTTTAGTTATAGTAGGCCATAATGAGCTATAATAGCTCACCGGTCGCTGACTGATGAAACTGATGGCCGGACTTGTCATAGAACAAAATGGTCCCGCGGTCCGAATACTGATGTGTCCTGGAGCGTAGTCGGAGTAGATATCCTAGCCAACTCCATGAACGTTCCAAAGAATTGGTGGGCTGAGCTGGCCACCGACAGCTCCTTCGTATCAAATCAGTTTCATAAGTCCATGTCCAAGAACGATCACGCCATGAGAAATAAGGTATTCCAGACCCTCACAGGAAGAGTGAAGGTCGTTCGGCTCATGAAACACTGTTCAACCAATGTTGGGCTGTCGACGCTAACCAACAAAAAGGCAGTGGAAGTCAGAAAATAAAGAGATTGCACAAATTTTTAGTTTCTTTTGGGAGTTACGTGTGCAGACAGCCTAGTGAGTGTCGGAGCGCAAACGGCCGTTACGGGCCATTCATTGAATAGCTATCACAACAGTGACATCAGCAAAGGCTGGCTGCCAAAATAAAAAATCGAATTCGTCAAGCACTACTCATGAGGTTGTCTGGAAACATCAAAAATGAGAGATTCGGCTGGGTTCTAGGTGAGTCTCTCTCGAAGAATTTCCAGTAACCTTATGAATAGCGCATTACAAATATGCATGCATCGCGATATGTCGAATATCGTAGCAACTGAAACATGAGGCGGCCTAGTGCAGCACATTCACTTGCCTGGAAACATCACAAATGAGAGATTTAGCTGGGTTCCAGGTGAGTCTCTCACAAAACCAAATTTGTTTGCAAATGAGTGTATTTCGCTAAAAAATCGATTTATTTTCCGCAGTGATCGAGGATTAAAGAGTCTCCGCAAAGTATGCCTGCAGAAGTTTCAACTAGAAGGAAATCAAGTTGACGTCTTGAAAACGAACAAGCAAACAGGATACAAAGTAAGTGAGACGAAAACTTACCTTAGTTAACCCTTTGAGGCAGTTAAACGACCTGACTTAGGAAGACTCATTTTTGGATGTGCATATACGATGATTATGCTATTTGACCTATAGGCATGTCTTTGGACACCAGTGGACGTGACCTGAGTCTCATCGATGAAAATAGGACAGATTAGTTATAGATGGTTGCAGAATTTGCATCATTCACATACACATCATACTCATTTGAACAGTTCTCCTCCTGTCCTGGCGCAAGTATGTTCACACGTGATAACTCAGTTGAGTCAAGCATGTGCTGGTGGAGTAGTGGTTACACGCTCGTCTACATGTCAGATGGCCAGAGTTCAAAGCTCGCCACTGCCGAAGATATGCACTGCTGATGAACTCTAATAACTCGAATTCAGTGCTTTCCCTCTTTGGAGTGCGCCTACCAGAATAAATGTGCTAGGAGAGGAGGAAAACTCCTTATACAAAAATGATGAGTGTAAATACGACAGATTGTTCCGTTGCCAAATCCCGATCAGAGCTGAATGATACCAAGTGATAAAACAAATAAGGGTAATCGTTAAGCAGTAACACCCTTTCGGTGCCCAGCCGCCATGCCATCCGAAGGTAGAACTAGGGGTGGGATACTGCCAGGGTGTCCAGGCCTAGACAGGGTGGGTCGAGAGGCAGGGGTCGGGTTTGGACTACGGACCCTCTGGTTAGTAAATTTGCGCTCTAATCACTGAGCTATCTTCCTCAGGTGAGTGTGGTCCCTTCCATGGCTTGGGCAACCTGGCAATATCCCAGCCCTCGTACTTTCTTCGGGTGACATGGCAGCTAGGCACCGGAAGGGTGTTACAGTTGAACGATATGAATCATGACAGGCATACAATGTCTCATCAGGCCGCAGCCAATAATTAAGTAAGCTTCATTGTTGCTGTGAACACAAATCCGTTAGCCTGATAATTGACCCCCAAAAGTGCGTCCACTTCAGACAGGTCCCACACAGTCTAGCGTCATACATGAAAAGTTCGTAAAAGCCACGCCTTCTACTTTGAATAGAAACACACAGTAGAGCGAGACAATGGAGTGATATATCAACTTGGGTATATCAGGGGATTTATGTTTAGTGTCACATCGTGTACAGTATTATTCCAAGGATGAAGAATGATCAACTACATAACTGAAAGAAAAGGGGGACAATGAATGATAGAAAACAGCAGGCTGATGTCAAGATCCCAGTATCCACGTAAGAACATCATAAATGGGAGATTCAACAGGACTCTAGGTGAGTCTCCTCCCAAAACCAAATTGATAGGCAAATGAGTGTATTTGTCGATAACTTGGATTAAAGACATTTTCTGGACATTTGGCACCAGATAACGTTTCAGAGGGATAGAATTATCGATTTCCCTGATAAATTAGCCTCAAACGACCTCCGAAGTTTTTAGACAATGTCCGACCTAGAAGTACAGGAAAACTCGCCCGAACACAGGACTAGAGTGTTTTTTTTAAGGTTTGGAGAAAACAGTATTTAGCGAATTCCAATATAACCTTTCTGACTGGACGCGGAGCTTGACTGTAATGTATTTGCGGAATTACTAAACGCCATCAGCATCCTGACAAAAAACAGTGTCATGCATCCATAAAGTTAAGACTCATGAGCCATATGAACTCGATGTCACGAATCTAGAGAAAGAACAAAAATAACCTGATAGTCTGTTTGTTCCTCGAAATACCAGTATTCGCATTGGCTGCGACCCACAATCGGGAAAAAAACAGAGAACTCACCATCCATTTGAACTAACAGTTCGGACTTCACGCGTCTTGAAGCCTCGTGTTCGGATTCACCACCACGCCTGGAACAAATAGAGTCGATTTCGTCCATAAATATTGTACTCGGCGCATAGAATCTGGCCATGTCGAATAAAAGTCGCACCAACTTTTCCGATTCTCCTCGCCACTTGCTTGTCAAACTGGAACTGGAAACGTTGAAGAAGGTGGTGCCACATTCAGTCGCAACAGCCTTGGCTAGCAAAGTTTTCCCGGTTCCTGGCGGTCCAACCATAAGAACGCCCTAAGATGGCAACGACAGATGCACACGTAAATGCCATGCCATTTATTAAGCAAAGAGCCCTACCAAAGTGGAAAACCAGAATGGTGGTAAAGAAATTTCGGCTGTTACCCAAAAATGGCACAGCCGGAAACCATCACCGAGGCATCATCCTCGCCACTGAGCTTGTCAAGGGACACGAGTGCTATTCTTGGTGACGCAACATGTATACTGAAGACACCGTTCCTATATGTTCGAGGAGCAGGGTTAGTATTCAGAGGCAACAACCGTCCAAATGCATACATCTTTGGTAAACAACAAGTTTTGAGGAGTGAAATAAGGCTGACCAGTAGAGATTAAAAATAATTAAGGACCAAAGACTGACTCTTATGGGACATAGCGTTGCACATAAAATGTCCTTGATAGGACCTCTCAAAACACTACCTTCAGTGCCGTCGCGGAGGTGTTCAGTCCATCCTAGCAATGATCCGCCGGTGTCGTATGCCTGATGATTAACCAGGATCTCTAGTGGTCAACGAGGCCGAAAGTAGACAAGAACTCCAAGCAGACTACGTCGAATTCTGTAACACTGTCAGCTTTTCAATCTCTGGCTCTTAGTAGGTTAAACGTGTGAGACAGTTGCTGACGAATGTTGAAGGTCTCTGGGAGTACACGGAATCGCTCTCGCGGATTAATTGTGTACTCATTACATAAAGGGATGAAGCCAGACCGTTTGGATCTGGTTTGTACCAAGGCCACGCGGTGTTCCGGTTAGTAATGTGATTGTTCTGCTGCATGCGAACTGTTGTTGGTCAACAGAACCAACTGAATTCGTTTTTGAGGTTGCACTAACCATGGCCTTAAGTTTTGCAACAAACACCATCCATGGGACCTCTGTTAGAACGGCATACAAGATCTTCCACGTGTTAATTCCCGTTGGATCCGCAAAATCACTGTAGCGCACGAGTGCGCGAACCCTTTAGAGGCTATCTAATCAGCACCGCTTTCACTGTAGATAGCAATATATAGGCGGCAGATACTAATGCTTATATCCGACAAAAAATATACAGAAAGCCATAGAAAGGTGAAAATAAAGGAGAGGAATGGGAATTTATTGAGAACATCTCAGTTCCTGAGAAGAACCGCGTTGAAGTAAACGCAGCTGAGGGGAATAAGGCGTCAGGATTGACGTGGGGGTCTTTGCGAACCTCACCGAAGTCAAGCTTATTCCACCATGACAGGTAAACACCGTCTGAGCGGTCCGACTGGGAAATGAAACCATGGACGCCACTGGGATGCGTTACTTGCTATGTTCTTTAGGACTTTCAGCCGTAGGTCAGCGAATCATGTGAACCTCACACATGGAAGGAAACGAAACCACTGTATTTGAACTGACAACAGCTGCTTTCAGGTGTCACGTCATGTTCGTTCAATAACCTTTTGCCAACAAGGATTTGAGCGGAAAACACAACTTCGTTCGTGGATGTTGGTCGGGCACATGCAGTGCATGTCCAAAACACCTAAACCACACTGTAGGGGTTCCACAAATCAACAGCACGTAGTACTTGCTAAAACTGGTCCTTTCAGGGGTACCACGACTTCTGAGCCTGTGTCAATGGAAGGCGGTAAAATAACACTATCTCAAAAAATCGTCCGGGAATGAGTGAACGTCACTATCCGCATGGGAATGGGACAAGATCCAGGAAGATTAAAGTATACATATGTGTGCACCCACCATATATGTATATATTCAATAAAATGTTTGCAGTACCTACCACATGGTAAGCAAAAATGGTCGGCGATGAAACCGCTAAGCAAATGCAGTACCTCCGGAGGTCCAAGTGAGTGAAGCACCACTGGTTCTTTTGTCAAAGACGAAAATTAGAAAGCAACTGACTGACTAATCAAGCGTAATCCCATGACTTACCTTCCAAGGACGACGAATTCCTTTAAAGAAGTTTGGTAGTACCATGGGTAGGACAACAGCTTCTTTTAACAATCGTTTGGCTTCCTCCAACTCTGCTATGTCATCCCACCGGACATTTGGGTTGCGTTGTACAATGTCTCGTTCAAGCATTTCAACCAAATCCTTGTCGTAACCACTCGGGTCGAACTTGAGCTCTTCCGAAGCAGGTGGATCGTTGGATGCGGTTGCTGCGCCTTTTGGACGTCGAGTAGGGGCTAAGAGGTACAACAGACAAAGCAGAAGCTTTGTTATGGCGATAACCCGGAAAAAATGATGCAGTGAGAGGATGCGAGCATGACAAAGGACGAACGGTTCTTAATACGCTTTGATGATATGCATGAGGTTGTTTCGTGATTCACAGGACTAGTAATACCAATATTGTCAGAAGTAATACTTCACCTGGGGCGAGATGGCCGAAGTGGTTAGAGCGCGGATTACTAACCTGAAGGTCCGTGGTTCGAATCCGACCTCCGCCACTCGACTTCCCCTGTCTAGGCTTGGGCAACCTGGCAGTATCCCAGCCCTCGTGCTTCCTTCGGGTGGCATGGCAGCTAGGCACCGGAAGGGTGCTACAGCTGAACACAATACTTCACCTCAAGAAAGGAGAAGCCTTATGCACTCAAACAGTGGTATCCAGTGTGCAAATTAGAAATCGTTACGGGGTTTGTATAACATATTGGAAACCTGAAAATATTGCAGGAATGTGATACAGGCTTCACCTAGCTGACAGCCATATCGAAGGCACTAATACTGAGGTATCGCGCCATGCAGCACAAACAAACTACAGTAATAGGAAAAGATGAATCTGGCTTTCAAACGAGTTGTGGAAGCTGAAACTTCTTGAGTGAAAGTTATAATGAGGGCCATTGTTCCCCCTGGCCCTAAAGTTGCTAAGGGTATTCAGATATATTGCACTGCATCTGAAAACATGCTCCAGGGGTCAAAATAAAGGAACAGTTCGCTTGACGAAACATACTGATTATAAGGTTACTCAAGACATTTTCGACAGCCCATGACCGGTTGGGGCTCATTGGATACGGTCAAGTCACCGAAATTACGTCAATTTTGTCATACCTGAACGCTAATTGAATCCAAAATTCGTGAGGTACACTAATTTGAAAAAAAACCACTTTGTTTTAATGGTATAGTCGAGTGAATCCTAGCTGAACCTCTTCAACTGACGGAAGCCTGATAACTGCGTCTACCTGAGGAGTCCCAAGAAAGGCGAAACCAGTATAAGGATCTTAAGCAACTCTATGAGTAGTGTGCCCCGTCAAGAAAGTATACTACGATATCTGGAGTATCGTACGACCTGAAGCATGAGGCCAAGTTTGTACATGCATTCATCCATAAGTGAGAGATTCAGCTGAGTTTTCCGCTAAAACAAAATTGGTTTGCGAATGAGCGCATCTCGAAAAGAGACAGTAGCCCCATTTCAGGAAACCGAAGATTACAGAATCCGAAAGACGAATCCGGTTACAAAGTCAAAGTACTCAAGATAAGTATGCGTAATGTACTAGATATTCAGAGAACATAAAATGCAGCCAACAAGACTTTGGTGAAAGTGGATTAAACAGAGGGAAGCCATCCGGGGTGAGTTGCGATTTTACCTCGGTTACACCATCATGGAGGACGGAAGTCAGAAAGGAAGTATCACCGAGACAGTGGTGAAATTATCTATACTGTTTGACGGAAAATTCCACGTCCTAAAACTTTGGAACAATGAGTGGCAATGAACATCAGTGAGACCATCCCATGGAAACATAAAGCACGGTAGACATAATCCCCTAAGCTTCAGGATGGACGAGTACCATATCATCAGTATAAGCCTTCGAAGATTGAAGATATTTAAGCCAGTAGCGTGCGAGGATATGGGGAGACTGAAGGAAAAACACTTTTGGGAACATCGGCATAGGGGCGAGATGGCCCAAGTGGTTAGAGCGCGAATTTACTGATAGGAAGGTCTGTGGTTCAAATCCGACCTCCGCCATTCACTTCTCGTGTCTAGGCTGGGGCAACCTGGCAGTATCCCAGACCTTGTGCTTCCTTCGGGTGGCATGGCAGCTAGGCACCGGAAGGGTGCTACAGCTGAACGCTTACATCGGCATTTGCCGAGAGTGAAGTGTATGGCTAATAATGCTTACTAACGAAGGTGAGATTTCGACCTTTGTGTTCCAACCTTGTAATTCCAACATCATGGGTTTTCGACAGTTATCTCCGAGCAATGAATCGGAATATCAATGATCCTTTCTCAGGTACGGACTTGCGGATTTTCGGCAGTCAAAAACTCCCCAGCAGTGAGATGTCGGTTAGAGGGAACGGTCACTGATTTTCAGTGTGAAAAAACGAAAATTTTAGCGCGAGAAATACCAATCTTGACTGACGGCACTGATTTAGCACCATTAGCCCTAAAAGGGGCCAGATGGCTCAGTGGTTAGAGCGGAATTTACTGACCGAGAGGTCCGCGGTTCGAATCCGACTTTTGACCCTCGACTTCCTCTGTCTAGGATTGGACAACCCAGAAGTATCCCAGCCCTCGTGCTGTCTTCGGGTGGCATGGTAGCTAAGCACCGAAAGGGTGCTGCAGTTAAGTGATTATCTTTTATTTTATCCAAATAACCCCAATAAAACAACCACTACGAAACGAGAAGAAGTCCGTTCGGTTCACCTACCCAGAGATCACAATGATCAAGTAACCAAATGAATCCCAGCCACGGTCAAAGAACAACTTGCCGCTTGATCTCTGCGTGATGTTGTGTGGATTGAAGTTCAAGTGAGACAGTTTGTGTACAGGTCGAACACCTGTAAGAGAACTATGCCAGCTTGCGCACTTGCCCAATACTTTTTGCAACCAAACAAACGCGCCTCAAGTACTTAAATTTCATTGGCGACAGCCACATCATATGGACAGACGTGGTAAAGCACCAAGACACCATAGTACTAACTACTTTGGAACTTGTCAAAAAAAACGACCTTTTTAGAGCCCTTTTGGGCAAATGACATTCCTGATGTGTTGATGACGAATTCTTAGAGGCGACCAGATAAACGAATCTGCACATGTGACGACGCTGTTACTTCATCGGAATTGGATTTACTTAGTGAAAGCGTATAATCATGCCTTTGATTCAAATAATATTCCATCTCCACCATAATCTGTGTCTGCGATACTGCTTATACGGAAACAGGAGTTTTCGTGAACTGAGATAGTATACAAAAGAACAGTGGAGATTGCAAACAATCCCCGAAATTTATAATTACCATGTGATGAACGAGCAACGACCACCAGTGGACTCAATGAGACGATGAACGTGATGAAGATGCGATGCCCCAAAACTAGTCCGAGTACGTACCGCGGATGTTGCTCACTGCTGGTCACACGGTTATTCGACATGTATCTGCCTCTTGACTCCAACAAAAGTTTGCTGCTCGGCTTTTGAGGTGTGTCAGTGTACTTCCGATTTATCTGGTCTTCACTTAAAAAAATTGAGGGCAGTGATGCCGAACGTTATAGTAAGTGGTAAGACTCACCAACAACGAACATTCGAAGCACATGGTCGGAGATGAGATGCAATATTTGCTGTGGTTACATAAATTATGACGAACAATCAGTTTCTGTTGAGTGACAACCTCACCACCTTATACAGAACCACGGTTTCGTTTGAGAAGCAATCGGTAGACTTGGTGTTGCACAACAAGCTTCATAGACCAAGCATTTGGTTGCACGGTCGTCCAATTTCTGCAGCAAACCGAGAACCGATCAGCAGGATCTCTCACCAATGGCGAGCTAAATATGAGGTGTCGACCAAGACTATGTCAGTATAAGTGGAGACTATGAATAACTACAGTGGCCGGAACTTGATTCCACAAGGTGGAATCATACCAGGAAGGCCAAAGGGGAGCGGTCAGATAAAGAGCAGCGAGACCTCGTAATATGAGCAGTGTTGAAACGATGCGGTCCAGGGGTAAGCTCGTACTGTTCTCTTCGGAAGGAGTGTGAAGGCAGTAAGGTGTTTTCCCCAAGCGATCAGTACGTCCATATCCATTAAAGCAGAGACACTTCCTTCCCCGAGAAAGGACGGATTACAAAAGATCGGTCCTAAAAACCACATACTTCGACCGCCCAACGGTTTACTGTGACCACCTGCTCATTATTCAATACGGCCGAAATGCTTCTGATGCTGCTCAAAATGCACCTGCATGGCCCAGTCGAATCACGAGTGAGAGAGTAATGTCTCACTGCCCGCATCCTCGGTTCAGGCCAGACCCCTAGCATATCAGACTATTGAGTATCCCGCGTTTAGTGCCGTCTCCGGCTTCTCTGACTCCATCGTAAGGCCATTGGATATCGTAGAGACCGCTATCCATGATGTCAGGGAATCCTTACCGGCAGGCAAAGAGTACGACAGCGCAAGCAAATCCCTCAAACGCCAAATAGTGAAAGGCCTAAGGACAAACCCAGAGCGCCGGTGGACATCGAAAGCTCGGGAGATGGAGAAGGTTTCTGCTACCTGAAACAGCCGTGCCCTATATCAACTGATACGATAGACTGGCCCTAGGAAATCAACGGTCGGCAAAACGATAGGTGAAAAAACGTGGCTCATTGATTCATTCGCAAAACCTCTGACTGGAAAGATAAAGCGAACACGTGGAGAAGTTTAGCTGGCCTGCTGCAACACAGTCTCTGGAGACAGTGAGCACGGGGGAATGAAATGTACACTCCAATCGCCAGCCAGAAGAGGAAAAAGTACGAAATATCGGAACCGGAGAGTCTGTAACCAGTTCTCTTCAGAGAAGGCAAAGAATCCCTGGCGACCCATCTAACAGTTCACCGGTGCGATATGGAGTGAAGAGGAAGTGGCTGCAGAATGGGTCGCGTCGACGGTTATTCCTATCTTCAAAAAGGGTATGCGAACACTGTGGAAACCACCGTGGCATCGAAGGTTCTCATCGGACTTCTCTTTCGAAGGTTGACTGAACACAGGAAGAGACAGATCCGTGAGAACTGTGCTGCGTTCCATCCTGCAAGAGGATCGATCACATTTTTACCCTCCGACAGGATCTGGAACAGCGACACTGCTTCCAGTGACCAATAACAGCCGTCTTCCTTGACTTGAAGACTCTTTGACTCTACGGACCGCCAGACACTACGTCAGAGTCTGTGGAGCAACGGTGTCTCCCCATAAATCGATCCTACTTAAGGGGCTGTAGGCCAACTCCTGCGGACATGTGAAGGTATACGGGAAGTTCTTGCCTGAGTTCCACACATCAAGTGGAGTCATATAAAGCTGCTCTCTACTACCTTTCCTCTTCAAATTCGTCCTTGGTACGATCATGGAAGATTAACTACCAGCCTCTAATGCCTATGGGACCGAAGTGTTCCGGAGGCGTTCACTCACAGATATCGAGTACACAGCTCTTCTTAGATTCCTGGTCATGGTAATGTAAACAATAATAAATAATCTAAATAATTATGCCCCGCGGTTTGGCATGCGCTTCATACCTGAAAAGTGTAAAGTGCTGCTACAAGACTTGGTGGGTTCGAACGATAGCTTCATGCTTAAGAATGGACTACTTGAGGTAGTGGGTAAGTTCGTCCACATGAGCAGCTGTATCAGTCACGGTGGTCTTGCGAGGAATGATAGTTTCATTCGGATTGGGAAGATCGAAGCAGCTTTCGTGACCGTGTATCACCTGTGTCTTAGGTGTGACATCAGTGATCGGGTTTGCAGTGCTGCGGTGTGCTACATTTTATCACACGGGTCAGAAACCTGGTCACTGCGCGTCGAGGGGGTTAAAAGACTTTCACTGTTTGGCCATCAGTGTCTTCAGAACAGTCTAGTGGGAACACCGGGTCAGTAATAATGAAGAACGTCGGATGGTTTTCAGAAGAAATAAGACGTTCACGATAGATGAATTGATCATACTCCAAAGGGTGCGCTGGCTTGGGTAGGTGCTACGTTTGCAAGCCAAGCGACATACTCAAAGGGCTCTTTTTTCACAACCACGTGGCGGGTGGAAAAGAGCCACGGGGGTCAAACAATGGCTTGGCAGCGAAGTACGAAAGCCATTGCCAGCAAACTCAGCTGTGCTGGTCATTGTCGTCTCCCTGGATGAGTACCCCGAGGCAGGATACACCAAAGGTTAGAGACACTGCCAGACGTGGTCCAATCGCAGCCTCAATGGTGCTCATGCATCCAAGCTATTGCCTTCAACGCATAGCACCCCTCCCAATCCACCGTATAAAAAGCTTGCTGACAACCCTGTACTTACGCGGCAAGTACTTCGCCTACAGCTATCTACTCCATCTCCCCAAATCATTATTGAACGAGTGTGGCAGCTACAGCTACTGTACGATAAGTACGCGTTTCTTACACATGATGATGACGACAGCACTTTTATTGAAGATTCCTCTTGAGTGTCGGTTACAACCCCCTTCTGGCCTGTGCAGATGAACAAGTGTTAAGACAAATGAATTAGAGGGAATTATATAAGTTTTAAAGAGGTTGGGACTTTCTACCTTAGATCCAAATCCACCATGTTAATAATCATTCCAAACGAACGACCGCACACAGCCACGTGTCAACTCAGATTCGTCAGGGGAGGTTTCTATCACAAATACGAACACAAAACAATGAAAGAAAGAATTGTTCAGTGACTACAGCTCCAAATTAAAGAACGACGTGTTTTGAAAGTTAACCGAATACACTTCTTTATTGCAAACTTTGACTCTGTTAGTATGCTCAAAGAATCAGGACAAACAACCACAGAACCTAAGCACTACATCATTAACCTAGTGAATTAAGCCAGCCGTCTGTAAGAACTCTTGAGAAGGGTGCATTTACGAATGCAGCACCATTCCGAACTGGAACTTGGGTTTTTTTGACATATAGTGTTACAAAAAATGAACCAGCTGAACATTAAATAAATTAAGTAGATGGGATGAGAACTTCTATTAAGCACTAGTTCACCAGTCTGACTTGGGAGAGCACGGTATAAAAGTATTGAGGACCTAATAATTATAAGGTTGCTGGAAACTGTGACGGTTTTCCTCACACATCAAGTGGAGTCATATAAAGCTGCTCTCTACTACCTTTCCTCTTCAAATTCGTCCTTGGTACGATCATGGAAGATTAACTACCAGCCTCTAATGCCTATGGGACCGAAGTGTTCCGGAGGCGTTCACTCACAGATATCGAGTACACAGCTCTTCTTAGATTCCTGGTCATGGTAATGTAAACAATAATAAATAATCTAAATAATTATGCCCCGCGGTTTGGCATGCGCTTCATACCTGAAAAGTGTAAAGTGCTGCTACAAGACTTGGTGGGTTCGAACGATAGCTTCATGCTTAAGAATGGACTACTTGAGGTAGTGGGTAAGTTCGTCCACATGAGCAGCTGTATCAGTCACGGTGGTCTTGCGAGGAATGATAGTTTCATTCGGATTGGGAAGATCGAAGCAGCTTTCGTGACCGTGTATCACCTGTGTCTTAGGTGTGACATCAGTGATCGGGTTTGCAGTGCTGCGGTGTGCTACATTTTATCATACGGGTCAGAAACCTGGTCACTGCGCGTCGAGGGGGTTAAAAGACTTTCACTGTTTGGCCATCAGTGTCTTCAGAACAGTCTAGTGGGAACACCGGGTCAGTAATAATGAAGAACGTCGGATGGTTTTCAGAAGAAATAAGACGTTCACGATAGATGAATTGATCATACTCCAAAGGGTGCGCTGGCTTGGGTAGGTGCTACGTTTGCAAGCCAAGCGACATACTCAAAGGGCTCTTTTTTCACAACCACGTGGCGGGTGGAAAAGAGCCACGGGGGTCAAACAATGGCTTGGCAGCGAAGTACGAAAGCCATTGCCAGCAAACTCAGCTGTGCTGGTCATTGTCGTCTCCCTGGATGAGTACCCCGAGGCAGGATACACCAAAGGTTAGAGACACTGCCAGACGTGGTCCAATCGCAGCCTCAATGGTGCTCATGCATCCAAGCTATTGCCTTCAACGCATAGCACCCCTCCCAATCCACCGTATAAAAAGCTTGCTGACAACCCTGTACTTACGCGGCAAGTACTTCGCCTACAGCTATCTACTCCATCTCCCCAAATCATTATTGAACGAGTGTGGCAGCTACAGCTACTGTACGATAAGTACGCGTTTCTTACACATGATGACGATGACAGCACTTTTATTAAGAATTCCTCTTGAGTGTCGGTTACAACCCCCTTCTGGCCTGTGCAGATGAACAAGTGTTAAGACAAATGAATTAGAGGGAATTATATAAGTTTTAAAGAGGTTGGGACTTTCTACCTTAGATCCAAATCACCCATGTTAATAATCATTCCAAACGAACGACCGCACACAGCCACGTGTCAACTCAGATTCGTCAGGGGAGGTTTCTATCACAAATACGAACACAAAACAATGAAAGAAAGAATTGTTCAGTGACTACAGCTCCAAATTAAAGAACGCCTTGTTTTGAAAGTCAACCGAATACACTTCTTTATTGCAAACTTTGACTCTGTTAGTATGCTCAAAGAATCAGGACAAACAACCACAGAACCTAAGCACTACATCATTAACCTAGTGAATTAAGCCAGCCGTCTGTAAGAACTCTTGAGAAGGGTGCATTTACGAATGCAGCACCATTCCGAACTGGAACTTGGGTTTTTTGACATATAGTGTTACAAAAAATGAACCAGCTGAACATTAAATAAATTAAGTAGATGGGATGAGAACTTCTATTAAGCACTAGTTCACCAGTCTGACTTGGGAGAGCACGGTATAAAAGTATTGAGGACCTAATAATTATAAGGTTGCTGGAAACTGTGACGGTTTTCCTTAGAGTAAATGATAAAAGATAATCAATCAGCTGTAACACCCTTTCGGTGCCTAGCTGCCATGCTACGCGAAGGAACCACGAGGACCGGGATACTGCCAAGTTGCCCAAGCTTAGACAGAGGAAGTTGAGAGGCACAGCTCGGATTCGAACCACGGACTTCGGGTCAGTAAATTCGCACTAACCATTTGAGCCATCTCGTCCCCTTAGAGTACATCAGGTAGGTGTGGCCACCGAGATTTTATCAATTTATGTTCTACTTGGACATCAAAGTGTACGAAATTGAGATCTAGATAGCTTAGTAGTTGAGGTGCTAACTAACGGACCGGAATTTCCGTGGTTAGAACCTAACCTAACGTAAGCATCTCGACTGTTCTTGTCTAGGCTTGGGCAACCTGATAGTATCCCAGCCCTCGTGTCTCCTTTCGTTGGCAGGCCGCTAGGCACCGAAAGGGTGCTACAGCTGAACAATTTGGTTTGACTGTGGGATACATTTAAATTACTCTAGTGTTAACAGAGGACTCAACTAAATCTCTCATTAACGTGCCGCAAAAAAAAACCATCCCAGGTTTCTTTCAGAACGATATTCAAGATATCGAGGAACATAAGGCGGCTATTGTGCTGCACGTTCAGGTGAACAGCATAAAGGGGTATCTCATTAGCAGCAATAATAAATGGCCGCATTTCTCCTGTTGAAAACCCAGTTTATGAGAGCCAACAGCATTTGTCGTATAGAGGAAAGTCATAGTGACAAAATGGACGAACACGACACCGGAAACACCTGCTTTGGAATGGCCACAAAGCACACACAATTAAGGGACATAACAGTGAAACAACAAGGCTAACTTCTTCCATAATTTTACATAGGACAACCAGATGCTTTCCACGGGGTCATAGGTATGAGACCGAAACCGTGTGACGGGATTGGACGTGCAACGTCTGGCACACCTGAAGAGTGATACTCTTGTTGAGCACTGATAGCTTCTAACTGTCGGTTTTCTCACCCTATGGAGATAATGCTTGCGGATGACAAGAAAATCGGTGCGGTTGAAATCGTGCGTACGGAGTACTATTTACGGTAGGGGACATCTTAGTGAGCAAAAAACTGCCCAAGGGGGAATAAAATATCTATATTAGAATTTTGAAACAAGGGGATTTATCCAAGATTCCGAGATGAAAGATCTAACAGATGAAGGATGAAGTCCAACGATAATCAAGTGACAACATAGGTATCTTACCGACTTCCCAGATTTGGCAGCAAGATGAAAGCGCAGCTTTATGTCGATAGCCCGAGGGAAACGAATTGTGAAACCTTAGCGGTACCAAGTGAAAAGCCTTCTCATTAAAAAAAGCTGGGGACCGTTACTCTCATTCATAAAACATACCCGATCCTGGACCAGCTCCTTTTGAGCGCGGAACGGCAGCCCCTCTGGCCTGAGGATCCTTTGCGTTCCGACGGGCTGATGAATTAGAGCCAGTGGCCATGGCGTTGCGATTATTTCCACCCACAACAGAGGAGACTCCAACTTGTCCAGCTGGAGATCGGTAGGCTGGCGGACCGTATGCTGGGCTCCCGGATGGTGGGAATGCGCCCTGGATTGGACCCACAGGACGACGGTCTAGAGGAGTTGGAGGTGGCCACACATCAGGATCACGGGTGGGTTCCTCAATCGGAGTTCGTAAGTTGGCTCTTGCGGAAAATGCGCCCGATACAAAGGAATTGTCCTCAAACGTCTTGAAACTTGACAGGGTTTGGGTGACCTCTTTAACAATTTCGAGTTCATCTGATATTTCCTGACGTACCTACACCAGCAACGTGACAAAAGTAAAAAATCTTCTACAATGATCGATTTCGTGATTGTGGATACATGTTAAAGCTAAATTCACAGAGTTAAATACAATGGGGAACATCGCAACAACAGCGACATTGGTTTAACATGATGCACTTTAGCTCAAGCAACTAAAATGGGACTTTATCCCCCGAGCATAGGAAAACATGACTGTAGGAGAAAATGGGGAGTACAGAGGAATGAATCGATCAATCTACGAAACAGAAATACGGGTAGTGAAAGACCGAGACAGCAAAACTGGAGTTAACGCACAAGGTACGGACAGCGTGGGTGCAAAAAGGATAAGGTGGTAAAAGTGACCATTTCAGACCATTTCATGCTATTCTTCTTACATGAAAATGCACTTTGAAAACACATACAGAAAAAGCAACGAACATCTAGCCTGCTAAGGGCAGTTCGAGGTGTTTCTAAACACCTGTTCGGATGACCTTGACAGCTGTTACCAGCAAAACGCCAACTATTTGCAGCAAACAATGCCGTGACTTACCAACTGCCATTGCTGCTTTCGTCCTGTTTCCTTGATTGAAGAGACTATTTTCTTCAGCTGCGCCAAGGCTCCTGTGTAATATGTCAGAGAACTATCGTAGCTTCCCAGAAGGGCCAACTCTCTCGCCTCTTTAATGTTCGAGAAAACTTCAGAAACTGCAGCCATAAGCTAAATTTGGGCAACCAAAGGCAAAAGCGGCTGAAATAAGAAGTATATTATTAGAGACCGTCGGCAGTTAAATAGCGATATTTGATATTGGTGTTGTTACCGGTGCAGAAGATGATGAGATGCTGACATGGGATGACGAAATGCTCCGTAAACTATATGGAGGCCAAGTTGTCCTATGTCAGATTGAAACTAAGTCTTTAATCTCCTCTTTTTGATAGCAAAATTGCCATCTGAACTGTCTAGCTGGGAACCGTGTATGGAGGACGTTTTGGTTTCAGTTGTTGTAGATTCATTTATCGACAGTAATGAAAATGAAGACAACCAAGCACTACATGCGATGGCCTAACCACTCAGGCTGCCCAAGCCTAGAAACAGTCGAGATGTCGGGGTTGGGTTCTAACCACGAAGTTCGCATCTGGGCCAATGAGCTATCTTGAGCTTAGTTATTTGGCGTCTAGGCCATCCACCAAAGTCACCTATCACCGGTCTGCTTTGTGTGGGTTCACCATTTGGGGAGACGGTTGACGACACCGTGATTGAGTAAAGGAGCTTAGGCCTACATGTCTCACTACCCAGTTACAAACTGACTATCTTTTAATCATTTCCACCCAATGAAAGGACTGTGGGTGAGATGTATGTGGCCTAACCAGCATAGCTTACGCGGGTCGCCTCCACTAATAACCACCTGGCCTAACCCCATCGTTCATCAGTACAGCCACGAAGCACAAACCGAGCCTTATGGCAGAATCATGTGGACTATTTTGAAATAACTGTCGCACAGCTTAACTCACGCTACACACTCGTGAGGTAGAAAATGCTACTTCAAGACTGCATGGGATCTAACCCAAACCTTATATGCTGGGAGACTAGTGAGTGGATGTAGGGGGTAAGCTCACTTGCCTGGATAGTTGGGTACTCCCTCTTCCCCCGTGGAATGGGAGTCCTAGAAGTTCGACACCTACGGCGGTGGCGCGATGTCAGTCAGCTGTCAGTTTACCTGCAGAATTCAAACCCGTGGGAGATTATTGCTTGCATTCTCGAGAAATATGATCCAAGCACACTACCGTCCAGGTCTGCAGGTGAATGACCAGACGCCCAGTTGTTCCGGGTTTACGATGGGTCTGTCGGATTTGTTATCAAGCTCGAAAATGGAAGACCCAAATCGCCTGGGTCCAGTGGATCATCACACCGTAGCCATGAGATTTTGCGTTCGGCCTGTCGCTGTAATCAACATTCCACTCAGATTTACATGGTCGTTATAGAATATATATTGGTGGATGATAACCGAATATTTTTTTCGGAATGCTGAGCCAACGACTCAAGACGTTTCCATGAGAGAAACGCGGAACATCTAGCTGGCAAAGGAATTCTGTTCAGGTGACTATATCGGTTGAAGTCGGGTATGGCCGTTACCTGCTGACAGCTTACACCAAGCTTCTGAGCGACCAGTCAGCGTCTAGGCTCTTGATTACGCGGCATTTGAAGATATTCCGTGATCGATCATAGCCGATATTTGCTGGTATAGTTTTTTGGGCCCAAATAAGAGCTGCTGATCAAGATAGTGCTCAGTGTTCACGATGAAGTCATGAAGAATGAAAAAAAGAGCTCACATCAAAGACTCACATATAACTGTTATTGTTTGCATATCCCTGACAGCTTGAGCCTACCCCGATAGCTACTACTTCATCACCATAATTATCTTCAGCTGAAAAACTGCGTGCATGTTGTACCGTGGTTATAGCTGCCACGATTTCGTTCTTACGTCATCATCATCATCATCATCGACAGCATGACATCAGTGTTCAACGCCGATACTTTACTGCCGTACAACCATGATTTAGTAGAAAAGAATAAGGGTGGATGGGGAAGGAACATAGTACTGGATTACTACAATCATTCCGAGGTGCCTACATCTCCAGATATTCATCCACGCAATCTAGATAGAAATTGACAACACGAATACCATTGACATCGACAGTAGCCATTTTTTGCATTGCCTTCAACCAGATGCAGTGCGGATCACACGGTCTCATCCTGGAGGGCGAGTAGCACCGACAACACCCAGGCGTTTCGTAATCCCTTTAATAACCCTGTCAAGTCAAAGATTGGTCACTTCTCCATTTCCTTCACTCTGAACTGGGTAAGAAAAACGGCAAACGATGGTTGGGCACATGAAATAAATGTTCTAACCAATGCAGCTTCTGGTGATGCTGGACACATTCTGCAACGTAAGTACCCACTACCTCGTCACACGGATTGTGGTCCTTAGACAACGATTGTCGAACACCTGAAAACGCTCCAATTCCGCTGCTCGAATGGGCCAAGTCTCACAGTCACGCAACAAAATAGCCCGCAATGTAGCCTGATACACACGTCCCTTGAAATTCATGGATACACCACTCTGATGTTATAGGTGTTTCAAATTAGGAAACGCAACACGGCCTTGCAGATTAGTGCACTGACCTCATCTGTCACGCTGCAGTTGGAACTAATACAATTTCCAAGATACGTAAAACACTCCACAACATCCAGTACCTCTACATCGGTGGCGAGTGGCGTGCTCAGTGGCTGCATGTTCACGAGCACTACCTTACGCTGTGGGTGCAAACTGCACACAAAGGACGGAATGACTTCGGTCGGTTCATCCAGAAACAATTGCGCCTTCTCTTTCTCTTCGAAGATGAGAACGATGTTGTCTGCATATTCCAGAGCGACAGAGTTTTCGTCACAGTCTATTTGAACACCGAGGTTTTTGGAGTCCTTCCAGCGTTTACCTAGTGATTTCATCGATCGCAAAGTTAAATGGGAATGGGGTGAGAATCCCTGACGGACACCGCCTTGTGTACGGAGGCTTTAGGAGAGCTCACTCTATACTTCCACGCGTCGGGAAGCCTGAGAGCACAAATAATTTATTATGTTCAAGGGAATTCTTAGACGGACAAGAGTCAAGGAGAAGATACTGGTCAGCCGATTCGAATGCGCAATGTAAATCCAGGAATACTAAAACTGAGAGTCGTTTGTACGTATGGCATTGTCCTGAAACCTGACCGAGTGTGAAGATGTGGTCAACGCAACATCTACCAGGTCGGAATCCTGTTTGCTGCCCTGGAGTCAGTGTTTCACGAACCACCATAAGCCGACGAAGCACAAATGACGCCAACAATCTCGTTACGACCGGGGTCAAGCTGATCCTCTTTTGGTACCACACTCACTACGAGGTCCTTCCGGTTGCCTGGGAGAGTCTCCTTTTCCCAAATGAAGGCAAATGGATCAAACAAGCACCGACTGAGAATTCCAACATACATCTATGAACAGTGTGGGTGAGATGTCATCCGGACCAGAGGCTCGGTGATGCTTGAGATAACATATGCAGTCATGAACCTCAGATGTCGTATGGGTTACAGATTCACCGTCCAGGTTTCTACGTCCACTGTGAGCTTCAGATTGATGGCAGGCACGATAACTGTTTTTCTAAGTATTCTACCCAGCGGTTCAAGCGTCCAAAATGGTCACTCTATTCTGATCTTTGATGGTTTCGCCCACAGATGGTTTCTGGGGCTCGGTCGCACTGATCAACTGGAATAATCTTCGGGCATTATAGTCCTTCTGGGTCTTTTCCATTTTTTTGGCTTTCTGTATACACCAGACTTCGAGGCTCACTCGCAAGCTCAATTTCACGTGACGTCTGACGATTCATCGGATCAAGTTAAATCCGGGACAGGCTGGGATACTTAAGTAGTGCCACTGTTCGGTTTGATATTCAGTAACTGGTAGGCTCTCGTAGCTCAATGCCAGAGGCGAGTTCCAGCACTGTGGAAAGAGGTAGCGATCTCGTCCCGACACGCATTCACATCTGATGGTGGAGCAGAAGGCGATCCTGGTAAATTCGTCCATCTGATCTTCCAACTTTTCAGTTGCAAAGCCAACGAAGAAAGAAGTGTCCCCGGACGTGCGCGTAGTCGGAATCCACGAACGTGTTCCAAAAACGAGCAACACATCGAGAACACTAACTCGGAAACTAACGAAATTGCCACACATCACACTGTACAAGGGTGAACCACAGCACCCACAGCGAGAAGCCAGGAGGCTTTGACCTGATTGGGTGCTTTATATCCAATCAGAGCACTCCCATGTCCAGGTCATGTGAGGGTTCAGTAGTTCCGGCAGTTTCATTTGTGATGTACACGAGCAGGGAGCTGTAATCACAAGGAGCCGGACTGATTTGAATTGAATCTTTCGAGGTTCTTCTTAAAAGGGTTGTTTACGGATTCACGGATTCATGGATTGTTGCACAAGGTCGAGGCTTTCGCCCAAGATTCCCGGGCTAGCTTTGTTATTGTTGTCCACCGGCTGCCATTTACCCGAAGAGCACAAGCAAGAAAAGGGTGTATTACTGCCATTAAATACTAACCTAAGGGTAGTAAGCTTGCCGTAACGAGAATTCGCTCACAAAATTCTTTCAGCAGTGCTCTGAACTGGGTACGAGATGTAGCTGTACAGCCGTCTGGTACTATAGGCAGCAACTACTCGGAATTGGAAAAAAGTTTTCCTGAGTCTATAAATCTTCTAACCATGTCCCCGTAATGTGAGAGCTGGATCAACGGTGGAAACACTGCTGGCCAGACATTGTTCACATAGAGCAGAAGTAAGTATTTGGTAACTTCGGATACTCCAGGGAGAGGTCACGCACAGCAACACTTGTATCCTAATTCACGGATTTGAGGCCGGCAACCATTTTCGTGACTATTGTTATATACAATCAGTGAGGCTCACGTCCTCGTCGTGTCCTGAGCAGACAACTTGCTTGGCAATTTCAAGAATCGGTCTGAATTGGAGTGGCTGGAAGACCATGCGAGTGAAACGAGGAGTGCGCTGAATCGTCCGTGGAGCAGCGGATGTCTTTTGAGATGATTTCTCATAGTACAGCGAGAAGGACATGTTTGAAGAGAGCTATGTACTCAAGTCCTTTTTGGCGTCTCTCCTCGTCATCTCTCGCGGTCCACTGTCAACACGCATTACAAAGGCATTCGCTGAATCCCTTCCGAATGACATATGGATACAATTTTCGTCGTTCAGAGGAAGGCGTAAGTCAAACGATCACTGCTTTTCAGCATCTTTATCTTTTTGGAAGGCACTGGAATCGATCCATACACAAGCCAAACTGGAGCAACTGATTGGCCGGTCCTGGTCAAGTGATCCATTTGAAAACATATGTGGCACTTGTAAACCGCTATTTTTCATGCTGGGTATCATCATCCTTCTCCTTATCAATATCGGTCACATTGCTATACAAAATTGTTTTGGTGAAATACAACCGCCACCGCTCGATTCTCAGGTCTGTGGTGTTTTGTACCTTCATTTTACTCCTATTATACATTACGCATTTTATCGATAGCATAGTTGTTTTTGTTTAAATACGAAAGACGACAAAAAATCGCGCACTTGTACAATTTCACGCAATGCAAGCGTAGTCACGTGCTCCATTTCTACTGATTTCCCTCGCGCTTGCAGCGATCATTTGCGAGTCTCATGTGCTAGCTCTGGTATCAAAACGATTCAGACCATCTTCGGTATCTGTTATATGTGGGAACCGTTCAGAAGAAGACCCCTGGACAACCATGATTGGATTATTGTTTATTCGCTGACCTAAGCCAACGACGAACTATTTCAAAGAGAACAATTATTAGTGAGTCTGTTCCATTTGACCTCTTTATTATTATATACCCAATCTAGCGTTATTATCTTTATTTCTTTGTAACACACCCCTGGTAAAGTAACTTATTGGATAGCTAGATCACAACAGGTCCAACTTGACGGGTATCATCTTCCTTCTCCTTATCAATATCGGTCACATTGCTATACAAAATTGTTTTGGTGAAATACAACCGCCACCGCTCGATTCTCAGGTCTGTGGTGTTTTGTACCTTCATTTTACTCCTATTATACATTACGCATTTTATCGATTGCATAGTTGTTTTTGTTTAAATACGAAAGACGACAAAAAATCGCGCACTTGTACAATTTCACGCAATGCAAGCGTAGTCACGTGCTCCATTTCTACTGATTTCCCTCGCGCTTGCAGCGATCATTTGCGAGTCTCATGTGCTAGCTCTGGTATCAAAACGATTCAGACCATCTTCGGTATCTGTTATATGTGGGAACCGTTCAGAAGAAGACCCCTGGACAACCATGATTGGATTATTGTTTATTCGCTGACCTAAGCCAACGACGAACTATTTCAAAGAGAACAATTATTAGTGAGTCTGTTCCATTTGACCTCTTTATTATTATATACCCAATCTAGCGTTATTATCTTTATTTCTTTGTAACACACCCCTGGTAAAGTAACTTATTGGATAGCTAGATCACAACAGGTCCAACTTGACTTGGGGGCTTCTGCGGAGTGACTGTTGTTGTGCCTGCCGGTTGGCTGTAATTAGCTGCCACTGACTCTAAACGTGACCAGAAATTTTGTCCACAATTACTGGGCTCAGCTGTCCACACCTGTAGATTATTATTGCGATCACAGGAGACTGGGAGTACCAGGTAGATAGAACTCTCGCGTGGTGTGGTGGTTCAACGGAATACGAAGCTACGGAATTTCCTATTGTAGCTGTGGGTCAAAATTAACCCGGATTTCCTTGCTTGTGACATTGTATTTGACTTACATTACTAATCTGTTCTTTTCACTAGAGTCACATAGGGCTGATAACCACTACATAATTGGTGAGCCCACATTTTTGCGTTGTTCTGTTTTCCCCGGTAACTCAAAACTCCCATAGCTCTTACGCATTTAATTAGTCCAGTAACTTACTTGTTCAACTCACTTTATCAGCTCAACACTGACTAGGTTGAAAATGCTGTTCACGTGAAACCCCCAGCTTTTTTAGCCAATAACCCCAAAGTGCGGCTTATCCAACTAGAATGTTATTTCCATTTTCACCGCACCGCCTCACAGTGGACCATGTTTTCTCGCGTGGTTTTCAGCTCCCGGCCGGGATTTCCGCAGGGGTTATCACCCCATGACGGCATCAAATCCATACAACACACTTAGAGCAGCAATAATTAAACGGACGTCTACCTAAGATAAAGCGAATCTACAAAAGTTGCTTTCAGGAGTCGAACTGAGCAAACGTACGCCTTCACAACTGCTACAACACACGCAAAGCCTAGTCTGCGGCAAGTCATTCGAAGACGGGATTTTAAAGTAATTGTGGTCGCAATGTCTTCATTTAAGCACTTGTGAAATTCAGACCATTAATCAGGTGTTACTCTGTCGCCACTCGCTGGGACGGCGGATAGGATTCGTGAGTGCTTCCTTGGCCGTTTCATAGCTTCAACCTCACAGCACTGCATTCAGCCTAATGACAACCCCGTTATAGCACGCTTGATCAAATGCAGACGCAAATTGATCAACTCGTGACTGCTGCCAACTGGGTTGTCACTACAGTGAGGCGGACTACTATGTGACCCAAGTCCCCATCGGCTTAAGGTAGACCGCACTCAGCATCTCGGAATTTTATTCGTTTCCGCTATTACCATACAAAATTCTAAGACAAGGATCTACTTTGCACACTTCCATGCGCCAACATCCTAACCGACCAAGAAAACTCACTGGTCAATCAATAGTGGGGACGGCTGCCAGTGGCCAGTCACCTCATCGGCACTATTATGGTGCGGATATGACCACATGAATGCGATTTTTCGTCGGCACCGGTGCAGAACTAAGCATCACTCCTGCAGGAAATTCGAAATGCTGCGCCCCTAGCCCGCTATCGACATCACAGTCGGCTAACGACACTCGCATAACTATCTTCGGTAATAAGTCACCGACGCTTGAACTAGGTCTTCGCCTTTCATCCGCCCCGGATTTTCCCTGTCGCCAACGTTCACGTCTTAATCATCGGTGTAGATTTCATGACCGACTCCTCCCTGACCGTCGATATCAAGCTGCAGAAGCTTCTGGATTATTTCGGTCCCATCAACCCAGTTCGACTCCTCGTCCTGCCCACTCGGTATTCACGTCGCCCGCATTTGAAACATTTCGTTTCTCGACGATCTAAACAAACGTTTCCCAGTTTGATTAAGGCCTCATTCGGCCTCGGGTGCGCCACATTCAAACGAGTACCACATAATGAAAACTGGTCCTCCAGTTCACTCTCGCCCTTGACGAATACACCTTGAGAAGCTGTCTATCGCCAAAGCCGAGTTTGACCACATGCTACAAATCAGAATCATTCAGCCTTCAAATCATGTGATGCTTCTCCTCTACATCTGGTCCCTAAGAAATCCAATTGTGACTGGATTTTCACCCTTGTGAAATTGTGTCTGACTTACATTGAAAATATGTTCTTTTCACTAGAGTTTCCATAGGGCCGTTAACCGCTACTCATATGACCAGTACATGCGAGGCCTAGCTGCTTGGCAGAGGTTTGCACCGACATTCTTCTATGGCTCGGCGGCCGAGTAGGATAAGCTTGGGAGCGGACCTGCTGGTTCGCGACTCAAATCTGGGTGAGGACATTAGACTTCTTTTCGACTCTCCTGGTTAACACGTGTTTCCACAGGATGCTACCGGTTTTTCTGAGTCATATATAGCATAGCATAAAAATATGATCAACTGAGGTGAAAGCAGCTTAATGTTCCGAGTGGGAGAAGTGTTAAATATGCATACATGCCGAAAACTACAGTTAAGTTTGAATAGGGATTCCCGAATACAAAAATGTCGGGCTCCTGCTAAGCGTTCATTGGAAGAAATAATGTGGGTTGTCAGAAGAAGACTGTGTGAAGAGGGGCAGGCCGATGGATACGCTGAGGTTCGTGGATACGTTTTGTGATGTTGAGATTCCTTACGTTATAAACGTCCAGTTGCAGAGGTCTCCTGAAATAAATTCTTCAAATTATTTCATGCCATTTTTTCGCTTGCACTGACAGTCCATTTCTCCTTGGTTTATGCAATCCAACCATTTGACTAGTTTTTTCTTGGCTTGTGCACAAATGCAATTTGAACGCGCGCGCTTTCTGGTTTGTTCACTACAACCAACCAGAACGCTGGCTTGTGGGTAAATCGCATGCCGAGGGCACTTGCATTTGAATTCCAGGATTTAAAGCCGTCTGCAAAAGTTAACATGAACTTGCATGGTCATTGAGGTAGATCAGAAACAAATGTAGTCCCGAAACGGATCCTTGAGGAACTCCGATGAAGACCAGAACCGAAGAGGAATAGATGGAGCTTACTTCCACTCAGAATGTTCTGCCTGATTAGAACGCCTTAATCCAGTGTAGGAGTTTCCAATAAATCCAGTAAGACTCGAGTTTGTAAAGCAGTGGGACGTGAAGGTACCAATTGAATGCCCTTGAGAAATCGAATAATGTTGCATCCGCTGAGTTATCATCTAAAATACCGAAATTGAGGGTTATTATTACGGCCATATGTTTTATCCCTTGTGTAAATTTGTGCATATCCCATCACTCTATGGCTTTGAGTTACTTTTCAGCCTACAGGCTATTCTGCCTCCTGGGACCATTTTCTTCAGGACCCCGCCGAGTCCTCGGGGATGGTTATAGGCCTCGAATTCAAAGTGTACTCTTAAACCAGGAATGTTCAGAGATTATCATTTTGTCTGTGCGACGATAGTCCTTCTAGAAGCTGTTAACGAGTATATTTGGTCTACCACGCAGCATTTGAATATCAACAAGTGGTGCGTCTTTGGAGGGTCGTAGATTAATATGTCAATAACCCCGGTACAATATGAAAATCCTTGTCTGTGGTGCGCACCCGCAGAGACTGAATCGACAAAGCGAAAAAAAACCCGGTTGAAAAAACAAGAATAATGTAGTCAGGGTAATAATTGATACGATAAAGATATGCGGCTCAAGCCGTGCACAAATAAGTTGGGTGATCCCGATAGAAAACCTAGGCCAAAGAAAGCATTCAGATGGGAATTATGCGAAGAAACAAAGGACTTCTGGACCATTATGGAGATAAGTCACGTTTGCATGTTTACACACACAACAAGCAGCCACGGAGGTAGACCGGTCTTGTTGAAAAAAAACATCTGGAACACAACATCTGCATATTTAAGGCTAGAGTGTTGCCAGCTGCTTCAAGCTAGTTTCATTTAGTCCTCTGGAATAATATCTCGATTTCGTCGTTGATCTGCTTGCATTCTTCTAGGTATTTTCGTTCACATTTCGCTTTGTGTAGCATAAGCGCAGAATAAAAACCCCAAATGTTTCTGAAATTTTCTCATCACTCCAGGTCTAGGTATTGTACACCTACGTCCACCTGTAGTCTGGATGTCTGTGTTGGGGTATTCATGAGAATGGCGCACAGTAAAATGGCTGCTGGAAGTATGCACATATGCTTTTCTGATCCCCTCCGCATCAACTAATTACTACTAATTACTACTAATTACTCTTGCCCGGTATTCTTAAGCCCTCAAAGCTGGCTATCATCTAACGCTGCCATTCAATGCAAGTCCAACCAATGTCACATAAACCTTTCTAGTATCCCTTGGTAAAAAACGCCGTCAACAATGCTGTTTTCTTCGCTTTTTAGAGTCTTTGGCAAGTTACACAAAAACCTTATATGAAGTTGTGAACAGCTGGGCATCCCCGACCTATTCACTCGTGATTCTTAATCTCCCTTTCAAACCGAGCGTTCCATGTTAGTATCAGCGACTCTCTTCCAGGCCCTCTACAGCACTTGGCGGAGTTTCTAACGGGTGCGCCTGTGGACTTTCTTCGATGATCTTTACTGTACATATACTCTCTGAGCTCTGCGAAACTCTGCGTTGCACTTCACAAGATATATCAATATTTCTTTTAGCGACTCCTGTATCCTGCAGAAATTCATCGATATCTACCTGACGCTGGCTTATCAGAGGTTGTCAGCAAAGAAGCACGTGAAATTCTGTGACCCTGTCACACTCACTGCTACGTTGTACTGATTGTTTTTGCACATATCAAAAGAGCTCTGGAGCCAAAGCATTTTTAAACTTTTGCTGTCTTATGTGATTCTCTATGAGTACAACCAGCTCACTCAGTTTGTCTATCGCAACCACAGCTTCTTTCCATTCACTGAGTCTCCTAGCCCTCAATTTCAACAAAACCTCAATGAACCTAAGAGGACTAAATGGCCTTGCTCAGCCTTTAAAGCTAGGCTTGCGCTTTCTCCTTGTTTCTTAAATTTGAACAGTACCATCTACATGATCTGGGTAAACTTCCTTACAGTGATTCTAAACCGTGCATTGGGTAGCTTACTGAAGAATACACAGTGTTTGTCAGACTTTGATCATTTAAAGTATAACTTTGAGTTTTTTCTGTTTTAATCTTTGCAACGGGGTGGGCGCGTTGGGCGTTAAGACACCGAAGCAACGATGTGTGTGCCGATCTATCGATTGCATTTGGGGCACTCACTTGGAACCACTGCCGGCTAGGTACTGATTCTCATTGATTCAACAAATCTACTGTCGAGTTAAAAAATGCTTCTGAATATTAACTTTCCTTTTGAATGTTTTTGCATAGTTAACTCGCCATCAGTAATCATGATTTTAAGCAAGTGCACGAATTTAGGGACAATCTGGATGACTAAGTCAGTGGAACCACAGGGAGCTTACCACACCCTCCTTGAATCCAGTCGTACTGTTGTCTGTGGCGCACAAATTTACGCTAACCTGACCACGATCTGTAGTTCCGTCTTGCTCTTTGTGGTAAAAATCCGTAAAAATGAGAGAATTTCGTTTTTTGTCCAACTGAGCCCTATTCGTATTGTGGACGAGATACGAATGTTGTTGATTTGAAGGCTGTTGTACAAGGCATAAAAGCTTCATCTGAGCAATAATTATTCAGTTGCTAGTAAGTAGCATTTGATAATAATTGGTCAAATCAGATAAATACTCAGGTACTTTTCACTTTGGATTCACGTTCTGAGTGGTTGCAACAAGAGACGGGTTTTCATGTCAGTTTTATCCCATGAGGCCCACGCAAAAGAGTTACCAAGAGATGAATTTGTTCTGAGATTTAGAGCCTTGATTCTGGCATTGGTTTACAACTCAAAGGTCTCTAAATTCTTTCACCTATTTTTATCTGATACTCTTCAGAATGTGACCACACTTTCTCACACATTTCCGTGAGTGCATGAACCACAAAGAAACGCAAACCAAAACAGTAGCGTGTCGTAGCGTGTCACTTGATTAGAAGTGTTCTTCGTGGTGCGGACTGTCTCCTTCAAAACAATCGACAATCGGTATGTATCCTAAGATAAGCAGTCTTGAAGATGGGAAAAGTGTCCATGGAAACTCACACATACTCAGGGGTGCGTAGATTCAAGCGTATTCAATTTTCCTGTGTGGCTGCAATTTCGTGGCCACATTGACGCGGAAATTAATCACTTACGAATTTCAGCACTATCGGTCAGGGAATACCAACGCCACACGGTCTGATTCTCTGGAGTCTTGCCGTTTGATTTTCCAACACACACAGTAAGAGGCTGCCTCACATGCAGAAATGTTTGGTTCGAGGGTGTTGCGCGCCCCTGAAAATCGATGCGACCAAGCAAACGGGGCGAATTATATTGAATGTGGAAATACATGTTGAGAAACACTTACCTGATTAATAAGAATATTAGAAAATGAAAATTCAGGATTTGAATGAAAGTGGTTCCTCTAGGCATACACCTAATAGCTGTCTGCAATGTAGTTGGTGGACTACACTTCTAAGAATGCTCTGGCTTTTGCACGGATGTTTCATTGGAGCACTGTGACGTCTTATCCATCTCTTGGAGAGGGATTCACGAGCTGTACCGCTAGATCTCATCCCCGGATGCACGCTGAACGTGCTCCACAGCCTAACTCTCCACCTTACCTACGCACGACTCCCCAGACCAACGCAATCCGTCTTCCCCTCATAGAAATTCACCAATCGAGGTTATTCCAACAATGGAGGATAATATCTTTTTCCCTGACCGGAATCTTTCTTTGTTGAAACCGCGAAGTTTCCGGGGCTTCTAATCAACCAACAGTCAGCAGTGATCTAGTCCATGAAAGAATCATGTACAAACTCTTCGATTTCACAGCTGTGCTCGCATTGTACATCTCACGCATGGAAGATATGTGTAACCTACCTCTAAAGATACCAACGAGAACCACAGACTCAACCGCCATCACATTTGAGAAGCCTCCAAGAAAAGGGTCAACGCAACTTGCCAGAGTTCTGTGGTTCTTCTCAACTCCAAGGATGCACGTTGCTAATTGCCGTTTGCCATCAAACGCCCAGACAACAAATCGCGGTACTCTACTCAAGAAATGCATTCTGGGGTCAGGTTCTGCCTCCAGACTTACTTCTTTGCTTGCCAAAGTTGCCCCATTCACGAGGTCCACGGGTTTCCCTTGACAGGGTTTGCCCAGTAAGGTCATTCGCCCAAGAAACGAGCCAGCTGAAAAAGATGGGGTATAAACTTCGTAAATTGCTTTCAAGTTTGTGGTGGGGATAAGGTCATATATCCTATACCATTAGGTGGCGTAATCAGCATTTAAGTTAAGGAACGGATGATGACTTACAAAAATACGGTGGGACCGGATAGCGACGAGACAAAGTCAGAAATAAGTGGGGGTAAAGACAGTTTTTATCCAGCTGAACGCACGAATCGGTTCCACTAATAGATGACGGAGGAACGAAACAACGAACGCAAGATTTCTGGGAACGATAAAATCGACCAACAAGCAGCCAGCATACTATAATGAGTCACCAGCTTAACCAGAAAAGATAATGGGGAGAGGGAACGAGCAGAATAAGTAACAGCCTGCGAAAATTCGAAGGCAGCATGTGTGTTCGTGCACACATTTTCTGCAGAGATAGAAGTATTTGTCTATTAGAACTGAACAATCTAGCCCAGTCTAGTTTGAGAGTGTGAAATAATCTCACAATTATGTTTCATTAGACTAATGAGCTCCTAATTAACCGAAGGCTTGTTGAAGAAATTTCCATTTGAAATCCACAAAAGACGGTTCTGTTCAGTGAAATTTGTGCTCTGGAAACGAGATTGGTTAACATCCACTATACTTAAGCGTAGACGTTACAAATTTAAGCCTCTAGTAATAGAAGAACGTCAGGAACTTTGAGAACACAATTATGTTCGTTAGATTGAGTATCCTAGCTTTGCTCACCATAGTAGGAAGTCATGCACATTTGGGTGAGATATTCTGCGTTTGGATGATACAGCGCAATTTCAAATTTTTGCTTTGAATTGTCACCTTCTTTTTACTACTTTTTGCCGGTTTTTTGAGGACACTGAGAGAAACAACTATCGGTCATATAAAAAGACCATATAAGCTCACACAGGGAAGTTCAGTGTAGATGGAGAAACAAGGTATCCTCAAGGATGGAGACCGTCAAACCTCTGTCATTTCTCGAACGATTGTTTGTCCAAGCTGCATGTTATTCCGCATATTTCATGCAAATATTTTGGCCAATGTTATTCAACCGTGTGAAAATGTAGATGTCTACAGTGCACTGTGAAACATTTGCAGGTACCCCAGTCGATTGAGGAGAGGACAGCTGGTGGAACACAGTTTTCTTTGGTGAGGTTGTTCTGTCGATCCTATGATTTACAAAGTGCAGAAGAGTGACTGAATAACTCGTAATCTGTGTGATAAGGTTGCGCAAGATATTACCAACCCTACTAAGGTGGTAGTGAGAATGTTAATCCTCTAGGACAAGTCATCTTGCTGTGATGAATTAAGCTCGTTAGTTAGAGCTCAAGAAATATTTTATTACACTAGTGGCAGAACTGAAGGCCTTTTGCACCAGCAGCTGGGAAAAGATCTAACTTCAACTAACCTTGCTTTGTTCGGAAATTCTGATAGGAGGTGTTGGTAAGTTATATTCGAGTTTTTGTTTGAGTTTATTTAGTGGAGATTTTCTGTTCATTTGTTGAGCTATACTTAGTCCACCGTTATTTCGGCATATATGTCTGGGCTTGCCGGGTTCATACTGTGTTGTACAAACTGCGAAATATTTGATCCACTAAAATCTCAACGTTTGCGTTCTTTTCATTGCTTTTACATAATTTGCAAACAACTACAGTGTGTAGTGTGCCTTACCCAGCCTGCATTTGGAAGGCACGTTTGCTCGTTCTGAAGTGTCTAACTGTTACTTGATTCGTGAATGGATTGATCCTCACCGCGCTTAAAGTTTCCATTCATCTCGTGTGGATTTGCAAAAAATAGTAAGTATTTGAAAATTTCCTACCATTTCAGAAACAGAAGAGAGTACGTCAGACGTTTGGTTTTTGAAGGTGTTCTGATTGGAATAAAAGGGTGAATCACTGTTTAAACGCAGAGATTTTCTAATGATAACCAAGATATTAAATTCTGATGTCTACCAGTATCAAGGAGAGCTGCACTTAGAGTAGACCAAATCTAAAAATTTGTCCTTAAGTACTTCTAAGACACTTGCGTAAACAATGATATCAGACCAAAGATGCGAATAGATTACTCCTGTATTAACAACAAGCATCTTGATAACTAAGTGTGTCTCGTTTTAAACATTCTCGTTATGATGCGACCAGTTGCTTCTGATTCCCAAACATTTTGTCAGGATGCTGTATAAGGTGTAAAGCTTTCCAAGAGGAATAGAAAATCTGACAATATTGGTCATACACTTTTACGTCAGCAACCTTTTTTTCGGAACTCGGCCAGATAATTTACTTCCATTTAGCTAGGTTAAGGTAGGATGTTCAAAATTTAAGTTCATCTCTAACGGTTACCTACACTCTTTGATGAGCTCAACAACTGGTCTGTTTGTGCCCTCTAAGTAATATGATAAGTCATGGAGTATGAGTAGTAAGGAGGTTATTCTAGTTTCCCCACCCAGCGCTAAAAGTAAATGAAGGCACAATGAGCTCAGCTACTAGACGGAGCCTCGCTTGATGAGCAGGCAATCAAGTTACCCAACCAGGAATTTCAGACGACCTCCTGAGGAGAAATCCAGATCTATGTGTTTCGTCGGTTGTTACAATTACACATTCATTTTAGCAAAAAAGAATTTCTGGGACATTGTTAAGTTAATGTAAGCTATTCGGCGATTATCCTTGTAAGGCTCACTGTCTCGTCAAAAGCAAATATAACTAAAAACATCCTTGGGTTGCTGTTTCCAGAGGGCACATAATCACGCTATAACAAATAAAAATGTTCCCTTTCGCCTGTCTTTGAAATTACCTGGTACACACAGAACGGACAATTCTATTGAACGCCCCTCCGATCTTCACAATATATCGAAAGTTCAAGGTCTATTGAAAATGTCCTTGGGCTAATTCTCGCCTCGTGGTACCATAAGGAGACTTCCGAATGCTTTTTAAGTAAATTCAATATATGCGGAAAAGCTTGAAGTAACTGATACTCTTACGGACCTTGGGGCGGATTCGAACCTTAAACCTAGTAGTTTAGGACTAAACTGTCTGGTCAGAGACGCAAGCGAAGAATGGTGTGCCAGAACTGTACTTGGACAATATACAGTGTCACTCGTCCTTTATTTATGGAATTCACAACGTTTGGTCGCAGGCTAGCGGATTTACCAGTGGAGAATTCTTAGGTGGTAGGTTCTCTTGCCGTTTTGCGTAAACTAATAACCATGATTTCAGATTAGTTAACAAGTTATCTCCTTCCTAAGAAGAAGTTTATATTTTCAATCCAAGCGTGAAACCACACTGGTGAAGATAATTTAAGATAATTTTCTCCGTTATGCAGAGCCAACTGTGTATTTTGTCGACACACATGGCTATGATGGAAATTCAGTCTTTCTTTCGTTAGGTTACGGTTACTTGGAGGGATATAACAATTGACGGTTGCATTGGGTCCGATATATCAAAAAGTTTACACCCACTAACTCATGGCAAATATATGATTATAAACTTGAGGTTGACCAAGCCAAAGATCAGTGTAGGGTGAGTCGGTGAAAGATAGCTAACAATGAAGGGTAAGTTTAGAACAGAGGTGCAAATCACACTGCATGTATCGCAGTAAAAAGGAGTTCGAAAAAAGTCGAATCCTTGGGTCTAGAAAATAATCGCGAGCTAACTTCCCATTAATAAATTGCAATAAATATAAACCAGATCAATATAAGGCATAAAGAAGTGAATACTCAAGCTAAGGTTTATTTAGTTATCACATAATTAGGGATTTCACCAATAGCAATTAGTAAATACGGTTTCCTATGGGACAGAATAGCGTTAAGGTCTCACGGGTTGTTTCCGTTGAAGGAGTTAAGTTATAAAATATTGAAATTATTTTTATAGGCGTTTTGAAAGGTAAGGAGCTTTTTCCTGATTTTACAAACTGACTCGCATTTGCCTAATTGCACTTTTTATACTGGTGTTGTTAGTCCTTGCAAGGATGAGGTTATGTAGGAAATTTAAACAGACAATATGATATAACTTAGTCAAACCATAGATAGTTGTTTGACATCAGCAACCCAGCCCTGACGCGAATGAGGTTATCGAAACGATCGAGTTCCAGGTAAACTCAAAATCTTATTAGACCCAGTTTTCCTCATAGATTCTGAAACAAATTTTCTCAGACAAGTAAAGGTGGCCCTTTTTGTAACTAAAAAATACAGCATTGAGTAACAACCATTCTTAGGGTATTCTAATGCCTTTTTTTCAAATAAGTTGTCTGAAAATGAACAGTTGAAAAGATTGGCTCAAGAATTTTTTTAAAATCAGGTGTTGCAGTACAAGTAGATAATTAAAATACTTAGCAATAATTATGAACCAGATCATCTCCAGAGGGAAGCTTAGCAAAACACGAAAAAACAAAGGCACGCCCAGGTTTCCATAAGGAATATTGCTACAGATCCTTATAATCAAATCCGATACACAGATGACCTTAATGGTAAGTTCACAAACGAGCTCTGCCTGCCAGTTTTATTTTATCGTTATTGTCATTATTGTATCTCGCCTGCTATACATCCGGAAAGTGAACTGTCAAGAAACAGCGTGTATTGCGGTCGATCTTGATGACCGGTCATTCGAGATTTGAGATAATCTATGAGCTCTGACAAAACGAAGCACGTTTCGATGAGCGATTTCCGTTCAGACACGACTGTTGAAAGGAACCTGCGTTTCTCGGTTCAAGCCTCTTGGAAATTGCATTTAGGTACCTATCGAGCCAAAACCAGTTGGTTGTGTTGCTCAGACTGAATATAACTCCGCAGACTAATATTACTTTAATAATCAGACCAAGGCGACTTTCTGGACCAGTGCAGTCGTTTTATTTAATGATTTATATCATCCATTTCCAGTGGTGCTGCATTACTGATCTGTCTCTACAGAGTCAATCAGCGAACGTAGTTTTCAACACAACAATTAATTTTAATGAAATTAGTAACTCGGATCAATAAATTTGAACAGGTAAGAAAACCAAGGCCGTTTCCACTAGC